GGACTGAGTACGTAACATTTCTTTCCATGAGTTGCATTTCTAACGTATTTGTAGAATTTCTCCTTGGTTGGCATTCACAAATATGAGTTTAACAAATAGTAGAAGATAAAATGGTCTCACATGCAAGATTTTCACTCTGCACGAGTGCTTCGCGCACAGGCTCAGGCAAGTAAACAGGTGATGTCACGGACATGCGTAGTACGTTATTCAGCCCTGTCGTTTAACCCTGTCGTTCACATCTCTCTCCTCTACATGCGCAGAAGAGCTCTTGGTCGAGATTGTGTCGTTCTCGGCCAGTATCTCTCGGTGACGTCACAGCTCATGGTAGAGTCCAGGAATGACCGAGCCGATAACGCCTGGGGATGCCCCAGACCAACACCGCGGCAAAACGCACGGCGCATGAGCACAAAATTTAACATCCGGTCAGCTTTTTATTTCCAGTCTAGTATATAAACCAATTGCGTAAGCATAACATTGCCGTCGCGCCAAGTTTAAAAGCAAATAGGGAGAAACAGACAAAAAAGGGGGCGAAAAAAGTCACTTTATTCGAAAGCTTATAAATTTTTCTAGTGTCAAACTTTTGCACCACATGGTTATCTGGTTGCACCAACGGTGAAAATGATGTTTGAAGTTTGCCGGTCGCGAGCGCTGGACAAGACGAATTTGTTTTTACTGGATTTCTTGCATGCTACTGGTTTTGGGAGAAGGCGATAACTAAGAAAAGAATGGCAATACTTGTGAAGGAAACCAAAATAAAAGACGTCATCATTATCATTAACACTAGAACCAGGAAATGAAATTTTAGTCCGTTCAATAATTTTTTTATTATCAGAGAAAACAAGAACTCAAAGCAAAAGATGGGCGGGATTTACTAATAACTTCGACTTTGATGACTGTAGTCACGAACACCCGGAGCTTTCAGTGCCGGGAAACTAAACATGCCTATAAAAGACTTGATTCAAGAAAATGCCTATTTAATTCTTTTACATGGTTGTCCTTTGGTTGAAGGCTTCAATAATTTCAGACTGTGCGGCTCGGCTGCGTCTCATACAAACACGAAACTTCCAGCTGCTAAATACATGGCATGAAAATTCAAACTTCTAAAAGCCATCGAACCAGCTTTAACTCTCTGATTCTGAGAATGAGAAAAATAAATAGAGTTGTCAACTTGCTGCCAACCTCAACATTATAACTAAGCTTATGTTTCATGGCAATCAACCCAGAAGAGTTTCGTTTCAAAACACGGTAAAACTCACTTGCTAAATAATAAAACTACAAAGCGATTGTGTGTTGTCGTTTTCCAAATGAAGCTCGAATCAGCTTTAAGACATGAAGACTGAGAAATTGAAGAACTGAAAATTAGAACTACAATTAATACACAAGCTTGCAATGATAACTTTTTTGTCTTAGTTTCAGCCAGGTTAAGTGAAAAATGGCAGTCAAAGACTTTGTTTTCGTGAATGAAAATCAGTTTACCTGACGTTCTGGCCAAAATTACACACTGAGTTATTATCAACTTACCTTTTCTGAACCTAATCGACTAATTGTTTCAGTGATCTGTGCCTGGTTATCCGATAAAAGCAATTTCAGTAACTACAAAATAGTCCGCAAAAACCCGAACAGCATGAAGCAGAACAACTGAACCACAGGCTGCACACAGAATGAAGCCAAGTGCACGTGGGAGACTTTGATCTGACTGGAAAGTGTGACTGAAAAAGTGACCGGAAACGCTCAAACTGGCGCATGCGTAGACGTTTTGTCGGGGTTTTCCCCAGACCATAAGACCATGATCTGTCTCAGCCTCGTACCCAGGCCTGTTCCCGCTATCCGAGTGACCAGAAGAGGCTTGGAACCGAGCGCGATAGCGCGAGGCCTGGCAAAAAATGGCAAAAAAGTCCCAGATCGACGAGAAAAAGTCCCAGATAATTTCTCGACGAAAATCCTTTGTTTTCTGCGACGATCACGGAATATTTCGGACTCATGAGATTAACACATCTCTTCCGAGCATCTTTGGACCGTTTCAACTGATAGCAACGAAATGTGGCGGGCATGTTTTCGCAAAAACACTGGTAAGTTAAGCATATCGTTTACAGTCTTGTTCGCTATACGAAGCTAGAAAAAAGTTTCTTCGTAGTTGGGCATGGGACTATCACTGTACACTGTATGTACACTAGTATCAAAGGCTTCATTTTCATTGAACAAAATGGGCGTTGATTTCCTAGTTACAGGGCTATAGTGGGCTTATTTTGCCTTTGTTGTTCGAATTGTTGGTAGAAAAAAATCACGAGAATCATTTACACGGTTTCGCGCGAAAAGCAAAAAAAAAAAAAAAAAAAAACACTACATACCATTTTCAGCTGTTTGAATATGCTTTTTGCCCATTATAATAACTTAGTACCTTGAACTTGTACCTTGCAGCTCCCAGTTCATGCAGAACATTCTAATAGTCTATTTTGAAAATAGCACCAGTAACTCATGTAATATTCGGGTGTCTTAGTTTTACCTGATTTTTAATGATATGATTATCATTCTGTCCTTTATATGATTGCGACTTAGAGCGATTTTACTTGACCCATGAATCATTTAATAACAACTATTGCAAAATATAGCTACAAATAAACAAAAGAAGACAATAGAATAAGTGCATGATAGTGCTTAGTATTCTACTTCCTGTTTCATGCGTTAAGTAAAATCACTCTGAAGGAGTTTGCAATTTTAGAGATGGGAAAATTTTGGATAATTGACACTTAATCTTAATTTACCTGCCTGACAGGCATAATTTCTGAGCAAGGTATTGTACATCAAATGTTTAGTTTTTTATTATATATTATTGTCTATTTTTTTACCTTCCTTTACATTAATTTTCAGAAAGTTTTGAAGGGGATGAAAGGAGAGTATGTAATAGATGACACTGGGGATGCGAAGGATACAGGAACAAAAGGAAAATGTAATTAAGCTAAAGAAAACTTGAAATGGAAATAAAGATATGAAACCATGATGTTTAATATTGAATTTCTTAGGTTTCATCAAACAAAACTGTATTGATTTTATAAGGAAATTAGATTGATTTCCTTACAAGCCATAGTTTTGAACACTTGTGAAATTTGTTAAGAGAAATTGTTTAAACCTGCTAACAACTACTTCTTGTCTTGTAAAACTTGTTGTGGGAATGGGTTGGGGAAACAACTTCAAGACCAACTCAAGACCTTTTTCCACTTAATTTGATGCCATAATGGTACCATTGGCTGGGCCAACTACATGCCATTTTCAGCTCTTTGAATATGCTTTTTGCTCTTTATAATAACCTAGTGCCTTGAACTTGTATCTTGCAGCTCCCAGTTCACGCAGAACATTCTAATTGTCTATTTTGAAAATAGCACCAAAAACTCATGTAATATTATTTTTAAACTTATGACTCACTGGAAGACCACTGCTGCGAAAGTGGTTCGAGATAAAAAAAAAAAAAACAGAAAAAAGAGGAAAGCACTTAATTTGAGTGTCAATGTATTCAGCACAAAGGTAATAATTGGGGACACTATTTTACGTCTACTACTGCCATTTTTTATGGTCATGCATGCGAGCCACGCAAAGGTCTAGCCATTTGCAGCAGGGCAAAGGTAATACCTTCATTTCTCAGTCATTTTAAGATCCTGAGTTTTGGTCCGACCCCAGGAATTGAAATTGTGACCTCCCACTCTGCAGTCAAGCACTCTACCAACTGAGCTAATCCTACCACGGTTGAGATAAAGTTTACATAAGATAGTAGTACAGTGGAACATAGAGCCTAGATATGGGGTCGTGCAACAACAACAACAATAGAATCAGACATTAATAGAAACAGAAAGAAAGCTTGACTGAAAGTTTTCAGCAGTCCCCAAAGGATCATCTCATTTAAATTGTGGGTAGATTCACTGGTTGAAGATAACTTGGATATGGAATTAAATTTTATTCATGCTAAATGCTATAAAAGCATGGACACAAAGTGTTTTACATCTGATGCCGTTTCAGGATATTTGAACGCTCCTGATGTTACTCAGTATGTTGTAAACATTCTCTCTTGAATCAGAGAGCGAAATTGGTTCAGTGGATTTTTAGAAGTCGAACTTTTCATGACATGTATTTAGCAGCTAGAAGTTTCATTCAATGGGTGTTTGCGATGAGATGCAGCCTGAATTAAAGCCGCAAAACAGTCTGAAATTATTGAAGTCTTCAACAAAAGAACAACCAACCGATGTCAAAAAGAATTAAATAGGCATTTTCTTGAATGAAAGTCATTTATAGGCATGTTTAGTTTCCGAGGTGATTGCAGTCATCAAAGTCAAAGTTGTTATTAAATCCCGCCCATCTTTTGCTTTTTATTTTTTGCGTTCTTGTTTTCTCAGATAATAAAACAAATAATTGAACGGACTCGAAAAAATTTTATTTGCACCCTGGTTTTAGTGTTTTTATGATAATGATGACGTCTTTATTTTGGTTTCTTTCATAAGTATTGTTATTCAGGAAATAAAATTTTTCTTAGTTGTCGCCTTCTCCCAAATTAACTTAAATGCCAAGAAAAAACCAGTAGCATGCAAAAGAAAGCCAGTAAAAACAAATTCGTCTTGTCGATCGCTCGCGACCTGCAAACTTCAAACATCATTTTCACCGTTGGTGCAAACAGATAACCATGTGGTGAAGAAGTTTGAGAATAGAAAAATAATTTTATGTCTTAGTTTCGAATGAAATGATTTTTTTGAGCTATTATCCCCTTTTTGTCTGTTTCGCCCTGTGCCTGGTTTTGCTTTTTAAACTTGGCGCGACGGCAAAGTTAACAACTGAACCACACAAGAATGAAAATACGCGCTATTGGTTTATATACTAGACCGGAAATAAAAAGCTGACCGGATATTAAATTTTGTGCTCATGCGCATTGCGTTTTGCCGCGGTGTTGGTTGGCCTGGTTACATATTTTCCAGTGGCGCCAAGGCTTGGGTACTAGGCGGTGGTTTTCAAAAGTAAACATGGCGGCTTCGGGAAAGAGGGCAGGCAAAACAAATGTTTTTTGGTCGAAGGATCGTATCCTTTCCGTAACATGTAGTACTAACTTATTGATCCCTGATTATGTTGCTAATATAATCGCTGATTCGTTTTGGTAAAAAAATTGTTAAAGTAACACAGAATGATCTGACTTAAAACGAAATGTTCCTGGAGCAAAATTACCAAACTCTTTGATTTACAGTTAAGCTTATAGCTTTAGACCTTTCGAATTTACATTGAATGAAGGAGACCTCGTTACTTCACCCTTTACTTTGATATTTTAAAACTGATCTATATGAGACCCTTTGCCTTTTAAAATCCTCTCGTTTTGCTTCGTTCACAAACCGGTATAATGAAGAAAATCTGGGGATTTGAAAATTACCTAGAGCCTTTCATTGTAGACTGAGATATACCTGAGGTGATGGTTACTTTTAATTTATTATTATTTGTGTTTAAACCTTGACTTAATTTTCTTGGTGAATTCAGCTAATGATCAAGATGACAAAATACTGAAACTGCACATGCCAGGTTAGATAGTACCATGATGGTAAAATGATTATTATATATTGCACTCACTCTCAGTCTTCAATGCAAAAAGAGAAATTTCATTTATCCAAGTGGCCATATGTTGTATTTACTGTATAAACAGTAATGAGATACCAAACCATTTCAATTGATTTTTTTTTGCTGCAAATGGTGTGATTTATTATGTAACAATAGCAATGCTGCTCTTAACATGTGGGGATATCATGTTTTCTTGCAAAAGCTCACTGGGTATTTCATTGGTGAATATACGATGATACTACAATAGATATTTGTCATTTGCTTCTAAACATGTATCCTTTCAGAAGAATTTTTCATGCATGTGTTTAGGGACTTATACTCATCATGTTAAGCTTCGGTAAAACAACTTGTTTTACAGTATTCCTGCAAAAAGAGTTGAAAAACAATGTTGAGCTTTTTACCACCCTCGGTTCGAACCTGTTAACAACCTCATTTGTTGCAAGACAGGTTTGATCTGGGTGGTAAAACGCGCAACGTGACAATGTCGCTCTTCAACTCGTTTTGCAGCAATGTTGTAAGACAAGATACATGCTTTTTGTGGTCGAGGACAAAACATGGAGCCAGGATCCATGGACCACTTATCTGGATGGGGTCGATGGAAATTTTTTTTAAGAAGGAGTCGAAAGGAGAAATGAACAATAAACATTATGGCTGGCATCAACCTACAGAAATATCGCAAACAAGGTTTGGAGGTGTTGATCGCTGATATTTACTTTCTTTGCCAGTCTCGCTCTCCATTTTCGAATTTGTGATTGCAAATAGCTGAGATACTTCATGATAATAGTTTTTTTTTATTTCCAGGATTCAATGATGTGAATATATAATTTATTTCTCTATTTATTCTCTGAAAGCTGTGCTTTCAACCCAGTTGTCAAACTGACTGGCCTGGCCAATCTAGGCCTTGTCACTAAAACTATGATATTGTCGGATGCTGTTTATTTGCATAATTTAACTATACTGTTTTTTAGGTGGGGGGGGGGGGGGAGACCAAAAAAAAGTGTCCATGGACTTGGTCCATAACAGGGGGTCCATGTTTTGTCATCACCTGTTTTTTGTTGCCTGTGTTATTGTACTTTTAGGGAAAGAAGACCCCTGTTAATGCCGTTCTCTTACTATTTGCAAATAGATTTTCAGTTTGATTCTTAGTACTGTTATTTGGATTTCACACAACATTTTGATTGTTCCAGAAGAAAAATTCCCGGAGAAATTTAAATGTCTCAAAAAGTAGTGCTTATTTTCTTGTTGGAGTATTCCAAGAAAAAATTGTGTCCCACTTTTTCAAGGCCATCTTTGATACCAGTTTCAGGCTTTCACTGCAGCTGTTTCTTTTTCTTTTCTTTTCTTTTTTTTTTGCTAACTGGGGCTGATTTAACAAAAACTTAATATACAAATTCTTACATGTAAATACAAGAGATACAAAAAGTGGTAACCAAAACAGAGACAAAAGTACATTGTAAAATTTACATGTAATACAGTCAACTCCCTCTTAACGGACACCTCTATAAGCTGGACACCTCTCTAAGACAGACACCTGTTGTTCATGGTCACTGCCATTATTTTATCAGTCGTTTTACTGTAACTACAGACCTTTTTATGGTTTTTCAATTATTTTTGACATTGACAAGTTTGGGAAAATCTTTCAACACCACCGAAAAGAGTGCCTTAAAATTAGTAAAATTGCCAAGTTTGAAAGTGATTTGTTGAAAACTAATAAAGATAACTTTCAAATTTATTTGCTTGTATGGTGGGGGCACAAATTTTAGTACAAACAATGTTTTTAAACTTTGCAGAGCTCTTTCCTTAAGACATATCACTTTCAAATTTATTTGCCAATTTTAGTAATGTTAAGGTGCTCTTTCCAGTGGTGCCGGCGGATTTTCCTTATAAAATGATCCATACAAAAAGTTGAAAAAACCATCCAAAACGTCTATTCTTTCTATAAGACAGTCAGAACTCTAAGAGGGACAAAGAACACTTTTGAAACCATCAATGGACAATAAGGAAGAGCTTTATGTAATACTGTGAAAAATACCTCAAAACACAAGTGTAGGTGCTCTACATGACATTAAATTAGCATACAGCTCTATTGTAGTCTTGCTCTAGATTGTAGAGTGTATACTGTTACCCCTTAAGACTACAAAGCTGTGAACATTTGCTTGTACTGAACGTTTGAATAATTCTCTTTTTTCTGTTACAAAGTTGCAGTTTTAGCTGTTTTGAACATTAAGTTAAACAGGCTTCAGGTGTGTGTTCACTGCAAATAGGTTCTGCTTTAAAAGTACTTGTGTCAGGTTACCTTGACTCACTAAAAGTCTCTCTATCAACTGTGACATAGACAATCAGGGCTGGTGCCAAAGGTATCTGTTTTAGAGAGAGTTGACAGTAATACGAAAAAGTGAACAGAAAGAAAATAATTACTTTTATTACAAAAGAGAGATATTGTGTCTGGTAATGGGGTGAATTTTTTTTTTGTTATTTCTGTTTTGAATCTGTTCGTCTTTGATATCTAGAAGAAATGGGAAACAGTTAAAAGTAGAGTTCACTCAAAGTGCCTTGTCTGGAGTAAAATTTACCAGCCTTGTGTTTTATTTGCGAATTTACCCATTCCATTAACTGACCGGTTTGCCCATGTAAATGGTAAACAACCACTGTGTCTTTGATTGGGGCATTTTCTTCAGCTTGATATAGGCGTGTGTGACATATTATGTCAACAGACTGAAAAAGTCATGACATGGCTGCGCAGGGATACGAATTTTATCTTTGAGTGCTGAAAGTATCTTTCATGAGTGAGCGAAGAGAATGAGTGAGAGATACTTTCAGCACGAGAAGATAAAATTCGTATCCCCAAGCGGCCATGTAATGTTCTGTTTATTTTATAGATGCTGATGAAATTCCTACATAAAACACAACTTTGTTTTTATTCATTTCTGAAACAGCAAAATAGTGCAATTAAAGTGATCACCTATCGCAAAATGCCTGTCACAAAAATGTTGTGAAACTCGGATATAAAGTTATAAAGGAGAAATAAAGACGACAATACTTATGATTTTCTGTTCCAAAAACTCAAAATTAATGTTTGTAACCATGGCGACACCAATATCCTCACACGTGAAAGATAACAATAGTATCTTCACTGCGGGCAATGAAGATATGATTTTTTACTAAAAGGAAAAATCTTGGTATTTCATCATTATCTATATGATAAATTTAAATAGTAACTTTTTTCCTTGTCATTTGTAAGTAAATTAATTTATTATTATTATTCTCTAATCAGGGATGTTGCTTGAACCACACACCAATGTCAAGATGCCCATGGTGAGAAAACCAATTCACATGATTAAACCAAGGGTTGTTACTCTTCAAAAGTCCAGTCATGATTCATTGGAAAAAAAGTCTTGCCCACTGAAAACAAGTTCCAGCTACACAAACCAAAAGAGAGACAGCAATGACTCTAACTCAGCATCATATCAGCGTCAACTATTCCTTGGTAAGAGTCTTACATGTAGCAAAAATTGTCAGCAATAGCGGTATCTTGAACGTTTATCAACGCTCAAGATGATTTGACCTCAGGCCAATAACTTAGGTGCAGCTAGTGAACATCGTGGATTCTTTACAGTTTTCACACTAAACCAGTGTTTGGATATTAGTGCTTGTCATCCGTACGCATCATTTAATTTAGGTTTTCCAGAAAACTTAAGTAGGGAGACAAAAACATTAAGTAGGCAGCAGGCTTTCAGCCAGACATTGAAACCTGGCCGTCCAGAAGGCATGTTTTCCTACAAAACTATAACAGGTTAAGTGATTTTTCCTTGTATTTCTTCCAAAGATGGGCGTCCATAGGACAGCTGGACACCCTTCTTGCTAAAATCTTGGTAGGCAGCAAATGATTGAATAATATATTAAAAGTTGCATTTTTCATGCAGCATACACTGGCTGTGTTTGGGCGAAGGTACATTGCGTGGGCAGGGAGCTGCTTTTCTTTCATAGTGGGAGAGACAGGTGGCCTCCCATTTTAGTGCATTTTGGAAAATAAGGGAAAATTTAAACTGCGAGGGTTGCACCTTTATATACCTACATGTACATTTCCTTTATATTTGCTTTTGCTTTATTTCCCCCTCACGTGTTCCCCAGCACGCTCTATAAAAACTAGCAAAGAGGGAAAAACAAACAAACAAAGAAAAAAAACAAAAACAAAAACAAACAAACAAAAACTTAACCAGTGCCTGTGTTTATCATGTTTGTTTTTACCGAGCAAATTAATTCCCAGTTGAAATACTATTTTGTCAGCAGCCAGTGTGCACTTCTGGTTTTATCCTATCAATGAAGCTTCCTTGATTGCACCTTGATTTATATTGTTATTTCACCTTTTAAAGGTGAGAGACCCAAAAGAGAACAAGGAAGAAATACAAAGCAGTTTACTCTAAAGGAATTGAATCCTCAAGACAAGAAACGAGTGGCTAATCTGGTTAAAGAACTTGCTAAAGTTGGTGAGGAACGGGTGTACGCTGAAGAGAAACTTCAAGAAGAGAGGATGGCATTTGAGGAACGGCTTGCTATCCTGCAGGAAGAATATGATGCCGTTATTAAAGAGAAGCACCGTATCCTTTCTTGTTATGTCAATACTAAACAATCATTGGATCCAGAATAATCAAGGTCCGTCGAGGGAGGGGTTATCAACCGAAGCCGAAGGCTGAGGCTGATAACCCTTACCGAGACCTCGACTACTCTGGAGATCACAAAAAACGAATGTAATAAATTGTTTTATTACACATTGAACGAATTCTTTCTTTCTCGCTTCGACATAAAATGTTTTCAAATTTTGTGCCAACTGTTTCTTTTCCTCTGGTTCCGTCAGTTTTTTCTCTTTCATGTTATCGGAAAACTGCTCGTTTGCCACCTTCGTTGACCTTTTTGTGAATTGTGAGTCGTTGTCTTCAACTATTTTTTCGATGTCTAATACTCGGTCAACGAAGCAAACCTGGAAGTCATGTTTTTGCTTCTTCACTGACGGCAAGCAACACAAAGCTCGCAAACTTGACGTGATTACCCTTAGAAATCATGCACCGCGGTCATACATGACATGATTACCCGTGACCTTGAGTGTCCCTGATATGATTATTGTATAATCTGCAGCTAGATGACGTCCCAGGCGCTGATTCTGAAAATTCACTGTGCGCTTTCGGCCAATCAGAAAAGAGATAGTGAGTTGAATGGATAATAATGGAGACTCACATCAGATAGACTGTAGTTGTTCATAATGAGAGATCGACACTTACAGACAATTACATAAACGAATTACTGGATTTTGTCACCTTAAGCCTCGACTCGTTGACATGGACACCAGCCGACATTTCGCGACGCCACCACTGGTTTCCCCGCGAAATGACGTCTGAGGAACGAGCGAAGTACAGATTCCATATTGATGACGTGTCACCACCCTAATCGCGGCAGTACTTCTGACTGGTCTAGCGACGAGGGAAATTTGCTTGAACCAATCAGAGGCATTGCGATCTAGGCAGTAACACGTCGTCACTGTGGAATTTCTGCGCTCGTTCCTCAGCCGTCATTTCGCAGGGACACCAATGGTAACGTTGCGAAATGTCGGCTGTTCCCAGGCTACTCTAGGAATGCATGAACGGTCTATAGGACTTAAGACAAAAGGAGGTTGGATTGAGAAAGAGGAACATGTCATGAATAGTAACTTGGAGAGGCTTTCATTTAAATGATCCTGGCAGCATATCCTTAACATGTCGTGAAGACCTGCAGAGTAGGTTCGTGGAACTACAGGCGCTGTTGGTTAAGTATCAGTTAAATGGAAGAACTCCATCACCAAGAAAACCTGTTAAAAGTGTAGCTTATGAACAAAAGGAAATACATCAGGTTTGAGACATACAATCTCTTTCTTCTAGCTCCTGTTTAAAAAATATATACCTAAATCACTTTTCTAGTCCTCGTACGACGTCTTCCCAGGCCTTCTCGGTCAATGCTTTTCGGGAACGTTACTATCTGAAGCCCCGTGCAAACCGACGCAACATGTTGGCCAACAACTCCCAACATTGTTGGATTTTGATGTTGCGTCCGTTTGCACACCCTGTTGGATGTTGTTCCTTGTTGTTGGGAGTTGTTGTGCAAAGTTTGAAACCAGTCAAACTTTTAGCTACATGCAAACGGACGTAGCGACTCCCAACATTGTTGGCCACGGCAAGAAGACTCCAAAACTCGTTCGGACCTCGTGACCCGAAACGTACAGGCTGCGCGAAATAACGAGGTTAGGGACTAGGCTGCGTGAATCACTATCATTCTTTTTGGCCTTTTTCAAGAAAGGACTTAAACATTTTTGGCTGAAAATCATTGAATTTCTGTTTCCGTTTATAATATCCTCGCTATGCACTATTAAAATTACAACAAACAGCGCCGTTTTTGAACATTCTTCAAGCATTGAACCGCCACTACGGTATCTGATGGGAAACTCGTGCATGTATGACAGTATATGGCTCATATACATGAGACAACAAGTGAGAACGGAAAAAGAAATATACTATAACACTTGTTGTATTTTTTTTATGGTTTTAAAGCCCAAGAAAGACTGATGCGTTTTGGGAATTTTGTCTCGCAAGCCGGCGGGAGAAAAAGCATGGGGAGAACTCTTTAAAATCATCAATATGTTAGGAAAAGGCTATGATTTTGTAGTCGGCAAAAAATGTTAAATATATATTTTTCAGATCGCAGGTGACGTCTCATCAATTCCTCCAAGCGCACCCTCAAACAGTTTATCCTCCAAACCTGAGCTGACAGAAATTCCAGGAAACACAAGACCAAATACGAGTAGCAGCGAGACTGTGAGTGAGAAACTCAGTTCACAGTCTCAGTTACCGTTACCTTTGATTGCTCCGCAAGCGAGAATTGACTCCGCTCCTCTAAACAACGAAGACAGTAGTTTACTTAGGAAAACAAACGAGAAAAGTGAACCTCTTCATCAGTTAAGTTCTTTTTCTCTAAGTCAGTCAAGAGAATCTGTACTCGGGAAATCGAGCTTGTTACCGCAAGCAAAGCAGATAGCGGAAGGTGTACTTGGTGGATGTCCGCCTGTGGCTACACACACAAACGGTAAAGAAACGTCTCAGTCACGTGACCAAACCGTGATAATACCGCACACCATGCCGGGAGAAGTACCCGCATTAAATTCGTCGAATTTGCGTGAAACACGGTAAACTTTAGGCTACATTCACACGGCGCCGGACGAATTTTCGACCAGCTAAAAAATTTGACCGGACACTTCGCTCTGTTCACACAGTGCAAAGTGATGGGCTCCTGGTTCACACGGAACTGTGAACGGCTAGTTGTCTACAGTTTCGTACGGTTAAGGTGATTGCGCGGGAACGGATCACCTAAACGAATGAATTTTCAGCCGGTCGAAAATTCGTCTGGTGGCTTGTAAACACATCCTTAGCTAATTCTTTGTCTTATTAAGATCCTCATAACTTCCCTAAAATATGTTAAGCCTAACTTCGAAATATCTAGGTAGTTATGTGCGTGAATAGGCCATGTCCCCCGGGCCTCTGTATCAAAACGAGGTTAAGTGTTCAACCTTTGATATGGAAATGATTCTTCATTCTCAGGCAGATAAAAGTCATTTTCACAAGAAAGGTGTCGCACTTGGCCTCATTTTGATAGTGAGGGTTTTTGGAATTCGGAAGTGGCCTGTTGCTGGACCTGTGGGAAAGAATGACAATTTTCAGGTACTATTCGTACTTTTGGTCACTGAAAGAGGGACGTGTTGAATTGTCCATGGCTTCAAATATTTAAAATCACACGAAAAACAATATTGATAATTACCAAGGGCCAAATAACTATCTGTTTTAACTGCGGCTCTTTTGTTACATCTGAACAACAAAGTAGTTTGTGTGTGTGTGTTTCTTTGTAATTATTATATTTTATTTTTTGCCTTTGTTATTTGTTGTTGTTTTAGTATAAACACTTCCTCGTCCGTTACTGGTCGTTACCATGTCCCGTCGTCCATCCCCCAGTCACAGCCTGCGGTGCAGCATGGTCCTACAGTTATGTCCCAGTATCCGACTCATGAAAAGCACGTGTTTTCTGTGTTTGGAGGTTCCGAACCAAGGATACCACCACGAAAGAACGAAGATAGGTAGATATTCTCTATTCATTCGGCAAACAAACTGCTTTCTTTAGCCCTGTAGATGAAACATACAATGTTTGCAGATAGCCATTACGAGACCTGAATGAGGATCATGTGTTTATCCCTGTACTAAGATCTCCCCTTACAGTTAACGCACCCAGTCCAGGACAGGTTGGCCATACCACTAGGGTCTACGTCCCCTACTCTTTTTAAACAGTGGTGTGGGTTCTTTTACGTCCCACAAGAACCAGATTAGTGTAAGTGCTGTGAGACGGGACCTACGGTTGTTCGTCCTTATCCGAGAAGACTAGAAAGTCTGTTTGCAGATGTCATTGAAAAGGTAACATTTTCTTCTCAGTTATATAAAGACCCTGAGTGTTGGTCCAGTAAGGGTTCGAACTTGCGACCTCCGATCCGCTCAGCAGACCGGCGTTCTGCCAACTGAGCCAACCAGGCGGCGGTTACAGATCCTTTTGTTTTTGTACCAGGTCTTTCTCAGAAGTGTCTGGAGTATCAGGGAACTTCTCAGCCGAGCTGGATGCTGTGTACCGGTTATACTGCCGTGAATACGAGCTCCAATTACAACTGCAGCAACAACAAATTGAGCTACAGAAACAACAGTTACAGCTTCAACAGCAACTTCAACAGGTTGAGACCCTACAACAACAGCAGCAGCAGCAACAGCAGCAACAACAACAACAACAACAACAACCACCATCGTCAGTGAAGTCACCAAAACACGTGCCAACCGCTGGTCAGGTAATTTGTTGTTGTAAACTCTTCAAATACAGTCGAACTTCCCATAAGCGACCACCCAAGATGCGAAGATTTTGTGATCGCGTGCGGGCCGGGGGTGGTCGCTTACGAGAATCAAACAGTAGGTGGTCTTTTCCTAGAAGAGGTCCGGACACCTTTTATTCATTTTGTGGAAAAAAAATTATGTCAGGCAATTTCAAAGGTAGGATATGTGTAGTTCCATTCCATTAGTTAAAGTTTTTCGTATACTCTGCGTAGCGTAGTACAAACAGCAAACATAGAGATCACACCGTGCGTCTAGCGGTCGCTTACAAGAAATTGGAAACATTGGAAAATTATAGAGCGGTCAACACAAAAAGTGGTCGTGGTCGCTTATAAGTGGTGATCGTCGGCGAGAGGTTCTTAACTATAGGGCTTTGACGTGGAAAACTTTGAAATTTTGGTCACTTATTGGAGGTGGTCGCCCATTGAGGTACGAAACTACGACGGCAACGGACACGGGAACGTGAAAAAAGCAATAGGTTTAATGAGCAAAACTCTGCGCGTGCATCACATTTTTTTGTAGATTACTTAGCAGTCCCTGCATAACTGCGACGTAAAATGATCAAACTTTAAGTTGACTTGTGAACGGGAACGGCAACTGAAGGCGATAAATTCTACTAATTATCTGCCCTTCTATTCAGCTCCAACTCAAATTCCCTTCTTTTAAGTAACCGGGCGAATTGGAATAATCGCGAAAAAAAAGTGAAAGGGTGCAAAGTCTATTTTTCAGCGACGTTTTCGTGGACGTCGCCGTTGTCGGATCGTAAGGTCCCTATAATCACACAAGCTACAACTGGGAATTATGATCACTAACAAACTAGCAAAGTTGCAAGTATTACATCGAGTGCAAGCTGTGGCCTGATACCCTGAAGACTAATACTTTCTATCGAGATATAAGGTTGGCAAGTTAGCACAGCTCCCGATCTCCCAGGATCCAGTAGTTCAGAAGCTGGATAGCGCCATGCACCAGGCCCAAGTAGTTGGAAAGGTGGACAATGATATCCACCGGATAAATCACTATCCAGTGGATAACGAGCTATAGCGTAATTGGTTTCCGCGCATATGGTGTTTTTAAGAACATGTTCTTACCCTACCATAGGCCTTAACTGGTCGCGTGAATCAACCCATAACAGTCGTAGAAGAGACGCCTGCTCCGTCTTCACTGCCCAGACCCGCATCACAGCCCCGTCAAATGTCACCAGCTCGATCTCTAATACCCACTCCTGAAGGTACGTGTGTTGTACTGCTGCCACGGTCACTGAAGCCCGGTTGTATTTTAGATAAGTCACCCACTAATTCCATTTTTTTGTTGTTGTTACATTCTCACGTGCTTTCTCGCGTTCACAAATATTTGTTGCCATCATTAAGCCCCTTGCGGAGTCTTTTTCTATTGTCTTTTTTTGAGAGAGCACTGCCTGTGTTAAGTTTTATCTTGGTTGAAATATTTGTTGGGTACTCGCAGGATTTTTGACTCTCCTCGGTAAGTTGCGTCCGTTGTTAATTATCTTTGATTCCCTGTAGGTTCTTCGTCCATTTTGTCAAACGTTCGTTTCTTACGAGGTGCAGATGCACAAGGATCGAGGGCGGAGTCGTCTGTCGGAACGTTTGTATCACGTGCACCCTCTGAGGCTGAAATGTCTCGTGGAAGGGCAAGTAACAGGTTGGAACCCTTGCAGTATTTAAATTTTTATATATTCTTGTTAAGCTAAAAGTTTCTTGAGAGTTTGATTTAGGAATGTGCGCAGGTAAAAGCATTAACTGGAACGTGTGAAGTTTGTAAGGGGGCCATGTCACGAAGATATTATTACTGTTATTGGTCAATTCTGTATTTTGAAGTCATCACTTCGTGCCTCCTTTACCTATACACAAAAAGCTCCTGCGCAGTTATGAAGAATATATCAAACAAATTTCATCAGGGAGCACTAGTTACCATAATAGTTTTTGGTGATTTTTGCAGGCAAAGCATAAAACTTGAAAAATTGACCAACTTTTTCACGTTTCAATCCATGCCCATCCTTGCCATCCGTTACAACAGACGACAGGAAACAGTATCAGTACCTAAATATAGTCTTCAATAGCAAAACTTGACCATTATTTGTTTCAAAGTCAATTGATGCGAAGACAAGATTTAACTTTTTAAAAAGGCAGCAAATAGTGTGACATAGCCCCTTTAAAAAGAGACGAGGAATGTTGCTCTCTCCAGTTTGTAGTACGCTTCCCTAATTTTTACAATTTGTCCATGTAAGTGTAACGCTTTAGTTGTGTTCATGTAAGTTATCAAACTCATCTTTCCCTTTCATAACTCTTTAAAACCAATAGCTTCTTGCCCTGCGTGTAGAGGTTTCTTTCTGGCTTGGCTTTTTTTGCAAACTAACAACGCGACTGACAAGCGACGCGAACGATTTCGTAAATGCTAAAGGCTTTGCGAGGAAGAAATCTCTGCTCGCAGGGTATTGCGTAATAATTTCTCGTCTTTTTTCTTTTTATTTTTTCATCGTTACGGGTATTTATTACAACGATATAGATGTTGGGATACTAAGATAACATCATTGCAGAAAATACTGGCCAGGCATATCTCTTATTTTTTATTTGTTCGTCGTTTAGAGTGGACCTTGGAAATGAAAACAGAGATCCTGTAGTTCCAGACTCCCACGAACGAGTTATGCCTGCGCCTCCCAGTCTCCCTCATTCAAGGCAAATCTTGGAACATTATCAAGAGCCTCGACATCAACACGAGTTCATTGTACCCGAGGCTCATTCAAATTACGTGAGATATTCGAGAAAAGATAATACCCAAGCCTCTTCACAACGCATGACCGGGACTCTTGACGTAGTCTATCACAATGACGGTCTGTTGAGTTCCAGGAGCTCTTGTCATGGCAACCATACAGGCGCTTCGTTGAGAGAAAGAAAAGATGAGGACTTTTATGTTGAGCCAAATCTGTTTAGTGGAAGAGCAAGCAGTAATTTGTTTTATCCAAACTTAGGTCAGGAAAGCACCGTTGAAAGAGGAGAGTCCATAGCAGAACGGCTTCATACAGACGAAGGATCTAATACTCAACTTCCATTTCTTGAGCCTCATTCAGCGAATCCGTATAGGCCAGCGGGATTAATGAATAGAGAAATTTCTGACAGTGATCAGCGGTTTTCCTTGTACAGTGAAGTTCACTCACGTTATGGCAGGTACGAACAAGTCATTTCAGGCTCGGTTCTAATAAACAACACTTCCAACGCAGTACCACGTAATGGGCTGTAGTAAAATTTTATTTTCCAAATCATAGTGCAAGCAGTTACAAGTGAAGAAAACTACCGTCATTCAGTTATTAAAGTCATGAACTATAAAGCTTAAATTGTGAAGATGAAATAATCAGCATGTCACGAACTTTGGACAAACACCGGGCGGGCGCTCTATCCACTGAGCTACGGAGAACTCATGGAGAGCGAGGCCATATACTAGGTTCATATTTGACCCGCGTCCTGCATACTGCTTGGATCAGCAATATCGAGATCGTACTGTACGGTGAAAGAATGAAAGATGGTAAATTTTATTCTCGGTGAACAAATGTGAAGATGAATTAATCAGTATGTCACTAGCGTTGTCTAGGTAATTGAAATGGGCAAACGTTTAGTGAATTAACAGCGTATAGGTAATAGCTGAAACTTTTAACAGTGAAAGTAGCAACCATAGCTTTGAAGTACTTTACTTAAGGTTTGCAAACTTCTCTTGTCTCCCCGCGGTAAACCCTCAGCATGACCGTCCAATGACGCTGTCCTTCATCTTCCCTGCGAACGTACGCTCTTGTATATCAATATTTGAAATATTTTTAATTTTTTAGGATTCCATTAGACAGTGGATATCCGCTTTCAGTGGTGGACATTGTAGATGGGTTGGAGAGTGAGAAACATATCGCGCCTTGTGGTAACGCAGCGCTTGCTGACGGTCTCGACACCTCAGACTCTGGTTACTCACAGGACACTTACAAAGGAACAAGTCCGCTGACTAGCGATACCGTCAACACAGATGAAGAGGAAGCGGCTGTTCTTGGAGATATTTTCTTTCTCAAGGGGAGGATGTGAGGGCTCTGTTTTGCAGCTTTCTCGAGCGTTTCGCTCGACGGACTAAGGGCCTCTTCGCGCTTTTCAAGCTCCAGTTACATGTTCCTAGACAAGAAACCTCGCTGAAATTTTGGCGATGTTTAAGCTTCGCGTTTTGTTGGGCGAAATAGATAGCTTTTCTAAGCGCGAGTGAGGCGCTTCCTCCTGTCACGCGCGCATCACATTAAGTCGCTTCTCGTAAGTCGCGTTTCTCATCTGCCTGCTATTTACGTTACAATATACAGATACTGAAAGGTTCTGTGACTTTCTCATCCATTTTTCTCAAACTTAGCTTATACGCATTTGCCTGCAGGGGCTGTAGAGAGGTTATTTTAATACAAACTGATTTTTATACAAATTATTATAAAATAAAGGAAATAGCACACGCTAATGGATTCGGGATCGATAAGGTCTCTTTGGTATGGTGAAGTGTGTCCGTTGCATATAATGGTACCATGGTAGTATTAAGAATTCTCGTCACAAGTTAAGCGAGCGGTTTAGCGCGCACTTACAAGTTTTGTAAAGGGGCACTTGGGAAGTTTGCTGAGCACAGCTTTGGCGTTTACCGTTTGGCAGTATATCTGAGAGTCGTCAGTTTTTCCGTCGTCTTTGCCGCGCAAACAGAAACGTCTTTAAGACTCGCTTTCTTCAACTAAGCATCGAAAGTAATTTCACGACCCTTTAAATTTCTATCATCTCTCTTTTATAACGGCTAAAAACCTCGGCGGGTATTTTTCTCAGCCAGACACTAGAAAAAGCACTCGCCGCCACATAGTCCTACTAAGGTTGATTTCCACTGACGTGTTTTTGGCAACGCACGTTAACGCACGTAAATTTCAATCACGTAAATAAAACAGAGGCAAGATATTAAGTGTTGAGATGCAACGTGAAGTTGAGCGAGGTTCTACTTTTATGCTTACGTGCGACCTTTCATACATTGCCTCTCTTTTATATGCGAAAGTAAATTTTACGCACGTGCGCACGTAAAAATTACGCGACAGTGGAAGTCAATCCTTACTTCGACCTGTGGTCGGTTCACCGGAAGCGCGTTCCATGCCCCTCATTACTTTTTTCCCTAATACAGACGCTCTCTTGGATGCGTACTGTAAGGTGCTAGAACTTAGCCTGTGCCATGCTCTCGGTCGGTGCAGGCGAGAGAAGAAAACGGGCGAGTAGCAAAAAAGCGAGCGAGCGAAAAATCCTTTTTAAATATCTCAGCCCGCCCACTTCCTCGTATCAAAATGTCAAAATGTGCGGTGAAGGAAGGTTACACACGCTCACCATGTTTGTTTGAAGCCACGTGTGTAACGAAAGTGTTGACGTAAAACTATCAAAATTGACCAATCAGAGGGTTACCAGAAGCTGGTATACCGAAATGAGGTATTGAAATCAATGCTTACAGGCTCCACTTCCCTGTATTATCCCAGCCCCCAAGAGGTTTTCGCGCAAATTTTCTCGGAGTCCAGGACAGGCTACTACAAGGTGACTATTTTAGAGCCCATGATAAAGTTGCGACCACATCTATGCTATCTATTTAAACTAGTGTCCCTGATCATAGATCTCTATTGTCGTATCACCCAGGCTGCAAGGGAAGCGAAGAATGGTCCACGCAAGGACTTTCAGTGTTCAATTTTTTTATTTTTTTATTAAAGAGGTTTACGGGCGACAAAGAACACGTTATCGTAAAGAAGCTTTAACATGGAACGTTCATTCTCAATGTATCCTGATGGGACACTCGTCTGCTCTTTCTGTAAACAATAAAATTGAAAGGGGTAGATTATTTCAAAGTTTTCTATTTTAAAAGAGGAGCGGAAGAGCGGGTTTATGGGAGGAAAAGTCCTGCTCTCGTTACCTCAAACGATCGAACGCAAAAATTATACAGCGTGCCTAATCGAGCGCAGTTAAAGGAATGTCTGAAGGGAAAGTAGCAGAGAAATACTAAATGGCTTTTCTTGTTTCTTCAGTAACTACTTATGTGAAACAAAGTAGCAATAACAGGAAGCCAGTCAAATTATCTAGTAACTAAAAAAGATCAATAGCTGTGCACTGAGAAGTGTACATCAAGGGCAAACTACAACTTACTATTATTTCCATCTTGAAGCATTCTGTCGTTATGCGCTTGATATCTTCGTATGGTAATTCTACTGACCATTCATTGGCCACGTCGGCAAAATGATAAAGCAATGGCCCTGGAATAAAAATGTATTGGTAAACCGAGGTGTGCGCCACAGAGAGAAAGACGCCAGGGCCTTATAATTATGATTATTTAGGGACATGTTCAGTTGATATCCAAGAGTAAACTTAAACAAAGCGCTAATTATGCGGCAGGATTTTACAGGGGCACCCAGTGAGAATATAGTTCAAAACCACTTAAACATAGCATTCTTGAACGTATTTTACTATTTAAACGGTAGGTATAGGCATATTTTTATCCCCTGAAAATTTTTCATCTGTTTGGATTCCCTAGCTGAAAGTCTAGTGATCCGAAAATTATAGGGATCAAAACTTATACCTTTCCGAAAATTTCAGCCAGAAAAAAGGCTCCCGAAAATTCTAGGCCACCTTTTTATGGTAAAAATCCGTTAAAAATGGGCAATTATACCACTTTTTAGATGTTCGAAAATCCTAGGAGAGGCAGGCAAGCCAGGAATTTGACAATAAATGTTCCGAAAATTCTAGATCTCCAATCGTCTTCCGAATAAATATTTTCCGAAAATTGACGTCGGGTGCCCCTGATTTTAGAGCAGCGTTCGTTTAAACGTGGAAAATCCTAGATGTATTGCCTGTACGCATCCGTGTAAGCAGTTATAAAGGGGGCCTGTTAGAAGGTTAGTACGGTTTGTAAGCTAGTATTTTCCTAGTGAAGCACGCGTGACTCGTCAATCAGTCTGTCTGTCCGCCATTACTAACATAGCCAGAGAGACAGAAATAAACGCATAATCAGATGAGGAGAAAGTCACAGGGCAAGATTACGCTTCCCGGGAAACGCTCCAAGCTTCGGACGTTAAAAAAGATTTACTCGACTTCCTCTCATTAAAGTTATTATAGCTGTACAATTGCCGTCAACTTACCGAGATTAATCCAATATCCACCAGGTTTTAAAAGTCTGGAAATATTTTCTATATAGGCGACGACATTGTGAGCAGTGTCAATAAAATAACACGTCACTATACAGTCCCAACAATCTAAAACAAAAGAACAAAAAACATAATTTTATACATGCAAGGTGTTTAGTCATAAAGAAAAATTTCTAGAGGAAATGATTAATGAATGTGTTAAAAACGAATCGATTTGTCCAACCGTGTACAATATGTGCATTTTATTAATATCATGAATTGTGATTGGTCAACGACCCGCTGATTTTCTTTCAGTCCACACAGAGATCATTTTCTTTTTCTCGATATATATCTATGAGTATACACGTATTTCGTGGTTCATCATATCTTTCTGACGATTTTGAGAGCTAGTTTCACCTCTACAGGACATAAACATTTTTTTAAGAATTAAATTTCAAGTATTTTATTTATTTATTCCAACGGTTTTCTCTGCAACACAGCGTCGCAGCATTGTTGCGACCTTGTTTCGGATGGTTACATTGCAACGCTGTGTTGCGCTAAAAATCGTCGTTGCGAATCGTCCCGTGTAACATCACCTTAAGCGAAGTACCGGTATGCTGGTATTTTTCTTTCACTTATTAAAAAGATAGTTAAATTTTGTGCGCATTTTTTTATTTTGTTTTCGCCCTTGTGCTAGTAGCTTCTCGTTGAGCCCAGAAAAAAATAAACTTCGTAACACGCGCCCGGCCATTACAAGAAAATCTTGCCCTCTCAGCAGCCAATCTGAGTGCGCGTACTATTGTAGCCAAATAATAAAACGGGGAAAACAGGACTACCTTTTCAGGCGTTCTGTTACTAGTGGAACGACCTGGAAAGTCCTGTTCCGTCTATTTATATTTCACTAAATTTTTTCACATTTAAACTAAATATATATACAAAATTCAGATGGAGGGGGCAAGGGAGCCCATGGAAGCCAATAAGGCTTATGAAAAGGACTACCTTTAAAAGTATAATATGATTAAATTATGAAATAAAATACTGGCAACGGCTAGACAATTTAACTAAACGCATACCATTAATTTTTAAGTTTAACGATTGGGACATTACAACTGGTAAAACAGTACACCTACTTTGCTCAGTGTAGACTTCCAGAAAATCTCCTGCTGCCATTGAGAAGTTAAGGTCATCCGGGACATCTGTGGGGTCTACATCGGGAATAACAACGGCTCTGACTTGATCAGATGCTGATCTGTTGTTACATGTCTGGTGTATATATGGGTAGATTGTTGTGTGGTATTTTCCTGGTGCTCTAACAGAGAAAAGAAATAACAAGAAAATTTCATTCTTTCATCTAGTCATTTATTGTAACGTGAAGTGAAAAATTTGTTTCTCAGTTTATTTTAGAGCACAATTAAATTGTAATTTGCGAAAAAATAATATGAAAGCTGTATTTCGTGAGTATATTACAAAGTTGCGTGATTCCAGGAAAAGAAGTGAACAAACGTTCATTCAATAGGCCCTTCCACAAAAGGAACAGGAAGGAACAAGGAACAGTAAGCCAATATCCTATTGCTCAAAAGACAGCCTTAAACTAAGTATACTTGCCAATTTCCACAGTATTATGTCTAAAGCGAGCAAAGATTTGCGCCCTCAATGACGCAAAGTTTTACTTTAATTTTACACAAAAATGAAATTTTACTTTATAAGAGAGAAACAGGCGCAGAAATTCCATATTGACTCACCTACGCATCCTAAGTTGCAATTTATCCAGTTGTGAAAAGAAAGCCTGATGAAAAATTCAGGCATTGCAATAGTTTGCAGAGGTCAGGGTTTTGAAACCTGGCAAGCCAGAATTATTTCAGGCTTTTTTTTTCCAAACTTGATAAGTTGCAACTTAAACTGCAAGTATGTTCTTTACATATTTTCTATTTCCAGTATAAACATAGTACCTTTTGGTAAGCTAGTGGTATGATACAGTCACTGGTATTTAATATGCAGATCAATGCTAACCTATTTAAGATGAAGTGTGAAGCAAAAAGCATATATAAACTCCACTCATTTCCTTGACAAGTATAACCTAAAAAGAAAACAAAAATACAACGAATAAACAAATGAAAAGAAACATTTCTGACTGTGAAGCTGTGGCTCATATGTATGTAGATATATAAAGTCACACAGTGGTGCAAGTGCTTTCTCTGCACCTTATGTTTGTAAATTAAGTAAGAAAGGTGAAGAGAGAATGTGTTTTTTCACAAAATGAAAGTTATCATATTGGGGTATAATATGAAAACAAGTGGATGCCTTGTTAGTCAGTTACTCAGACCTGCCATCATCAACATTATGAAACTAAGTTATGATGTACACGTATCATTTTTTAGTAAAATCCAACTAGTGGTCTATTATCAATGCTGCATTCTGATTGGTTGAGCTACTACTAGGCTATATGTTATAGCCCACTGGTAGGGAAAAGCGCCGGCTTTGAAAACCAAAAGAACGGTGGCTGAATCGTGTTTTCTAGCTAAAGTCGTTTTGTCTCACTATTTTTGACCAAACAGTTGGATTTTACTAAAACAATTATTCCTCTTGCCGTCATGGCCTCAGAGTCAATAGCTATATCGGCCTTCGGCCTCATGGGCTATTGACTCAGAGCAGGCTCGAGGCATAATTGTTAGATTTAAAGCCACATCATTTCCTGACCCTCCATGACATAAATCATATTTCTCTTGCTCTGAGAAAACAGTTGACCTATCGTGATGCCACCACTGGTTTGCCAGTGAACTGACATTCGAGGAACTACATTGTACTGCAGAAGTTTCATACAAGTGACGCGTCCCTACCCAGATCTGGGTAGTGCTGCATCATCAGTATGGAATTTCTGTGGTCATTCCTCAGATGTCACAGTGATGCTGTTACAAAATGTCGGCTGTTTCTCAGGCTACTCTTCCTACTAACATCTTTGTCTAATGTTAATCCTTACTTAAAAATATCTCATCATATGATATAGTTTAGGCATTTCTTACCAAGCTTAGCAATATCAAACATCAGTCTGGCTAATCCAGCTCCTGGAACAAGGATTGAAATATCCTTCCTGCTGGAACTGCAATTAAATTACATTTATATATAATCAAGATTTTAACACAGTTATCAGCACTGTATGCTCACTTAGAAAATATATTATTGTAAAGACCTAATCAATGGTCACTAGCTGCTAATGGGTTTTTTCATAAATTACAGTTCTTCGCAGCAATTAAAATAAATTATGATCATTTGTTGTGAGTAAATGACTATATGCGCATAAAATTTCTAAACCAATGTCCTGTTCCATTACGTTCAGTTCTGGTAAAATTGTAACTTCTTAGTAACAAAAACATTGTGTTTTTTAATGTCATGTTTATTGTCCCAACTCTTGTTATCCAACACCTTTGACCTCCATCATCAGTAGTAGCTTTTAAAATATTATTTAGAATATTAATCCATTACTACATACCATTCTGGCATTGGAAAAAGTCTTAGAATTTCATCAATAATTGGCTTGTAGCAGGCATCGCGTTCAGATTTTCCCTGTTATCAAAAAACGTACAAAAGAAGAAAGAAAACAAAAATTAAAGAATTTAAAAAAAGTATATAATCACCACAATCTTAACAATGTTCTGAACAAAAACAGAAACAAACCAAACATTTCTGACTCATGGTTCCTAAGAAGAACACCAAAATGACTATTATCTTACTTAATTCTGTAGACCAATCAAATCTGAAGTCATTTCCAAAGCAAGTTGCTAGAATTACAATGATTTTTTGTAAAAGTTCAATCACTTTTGACATTGTATGTTCGCTAAGACTAATTATCAAATTCTCTCCTCCCGCGGCTAAGGTATCAAAATTAATGTGTACCCAAGGGGGGATGTTAGGGGTTCGATTTGACTAATATGGTATTACATGACTGTACCTCATCACTCCAATCTCTAACAAACTGTTTCATTGTTGTTGTTACTTTGTCCATGTCAAATCCACAAATTGGCTGGCTTGCGGGATCATTAGGAGCCTTTGGAAGGACATTAATATTAACATCAATCAAAACAACAATAATACAAGATCATAATAAATGAAATTAAATGAACACGATTTAATATAAAAAGTAAATAACTGTTAAATACTACACAAGGAAGAGAAGGTTGTCGAGAGGGAGTACAGCATAGCGGATTATTAACATTAAAATCACTATTTTCACAACAAATTATCAATAGGAATATATCGTAGATATTTCCTTTATTAATTATTACACAAAGAATGATTTTTGTGTCAGAAATCAGAGATTTCCATTTCAATATTTGTTTCAAAATGTTGTTAGTTCATAAAACATAGATTTTCCCTAGATAAATACATAGGCCTTAATGTAATTACAAGTGTCCATTTTGTAAAGTAAAACTAACTATTGACCTTTCTGTTTTATATCCATAGACCCTATACCCTGAGGTATAAGTCCCCCCCCCCCTCCCAAGAAAAGAAAGATCAAAGTCCAAACACATACCCATTTCCAGTATACAGAGTGTAGCTTAATTAAAAGGTGTTTTAGATAGATTGAACATTCTGCAGTTCAGTAGAGGAGGTAAGGAGATTAATAATGGAATGGCCCACCTAGAATTAGATTACATGGTGCTTTTTTTCAAAAAAATAATTTTTTAAAAATAAATAATACAACAAAATATTAAACAGCAAATAGAAAGTGTTCAAGACTTACCCCACGAATTCTAGTTGTACTATCTCTGTTTTCAAACATTTCATTTGTCTCACTAACGATTTTGAACAAGAACTTTTGATTTTCTTCAATGCACTGTTCTATTTTCTTGAGATGATCTTTAAAATTTGGAAGCATTTCCTTGTGCCTTCGAGGGAGAAACGTATAGTTTTCTTTGGTTCTTTGAAGCTTTCGCAAGGAGTATTCCCTGCAGGGAAAAAGCAAGAAGTGATGATTTTAAATCAGCAAAATGAGGCTGTGTAAAGGCGGGGTTGTCAGAAAGTTTTGAAGTAGATGACTGAGTTGTCAAAGTAAGCAGCCAGTCCAGGGATATTTTATTTAAAAAAACGCCATGTGTAAAGAAATCCCAAACAGAGTATTAAAGGGACAATACTAACCAAGAAGGCAGCGATTTTCAGGAGCAGCTGGCTACTTCTGACAACCCTCATTTGTACATGTAAGAAAACCTGTAAGCCTAAGCTAATTCAATCTGCTGTACTCACAGGTGGCCCAAGCTCAGTGCATAAATTACCGCGTAGTTTGATATTGTTTGGCATAATTTTTATTACGAACGATTTCTTCACTCCGTATGAAAAATTTTAATAATAATAGTTGCTCAATTCCGCAAAAATATAGGCATAAATATAGAAATAAATTTCACTTACGTAGACTTGGATTTGTTGCTACTTTTTCCGTGTAACCTGGGCTCAATTCATGGCCATTTATACAGTTTTATCGCTCACAGTTTGTTCGGTGTTGTTTTCCTACATACACGTAATGTGAAGCAAGGCAGGCTACTGTGTGCAGTCTCAACTCACAAATCTCTCCCACATCAAAGAACCATGCACTGATTTGCCATGGAAGCACCAAATCCTTAAGGCCAAGTGAGTCTCTTATCTCTAATTCCCCTCATCATGGGTAAATGTATTGTGATTTGTTTTTGTGGGAAAATTTTTTAAAGTTTTTGGTTCTGGGCAATCTGACATGTGCTCAGGAAACTCAATGACTATGTACCAGTTGCTACATGGTGAATGTGAACAATGTACATATGCTCATCCAATTGGATAACTCCAAACACTGCTCACGCATCAGTAGACTATCGGAGGGTAGGAAGATCCATGTTTTGTCATGCAATATTGATTACCCGGATCCCCTGAGTCCATGTTTGTGTTCACTAGACAAGCGTAATCGTTGAGGTTCCTACAGGTAACAACACGTCAGATTTAGAACCGAAAACTTTCAAAAAATGTTCCCACAAAAAAAAACACATCGCAATACCCATGATGAGAGGAAGAGATAAAAGACTCACCTGGCCTTAAGGATTTGGTACTTCCATGGTGAATTGGTGTGCGGATCTTTGATGAAGGTGAGATTTGTGCAGTTGAGACTGCACAGAGTAACATGCCTTGCTTCGCATTGTGTAGGAAAACAACACCAAACAAACAACAAGCTGCAACACCATATAAAATAGCCATGAATTGAGCCCAGGTTACACAGAAAAAGTATTAACAACAAACCCAAGTGAAATTTATTCCTACATAATGTATATTTATGACTATGTTTCTACGTTTTAACAACTACATTAAATTTTTCATACAAAGTCTATAAATTGTTTGTAATATGCAAAACAGTATTGAAACAGGCGGTAATTTACTGTAAATCCTCTATGAAGCCCCCCCTCTCAAATAAGCCCCCTCCATCTAACAAGCGCCCCACCTCCGTTATCAGGGGAAGAAAGTTAATAAGTGACCCTCTCCCCACCCCGCAAACTGAATGATAGAAATGTATGATAGACTGTATTAATCAATCACGACTGTAAAACTTCGTGTGGACTGATCCGGGATGGTTTATTTACCAACCGGAGGATCGGATTTGATTCTAATCCTCGGCTGCATCACCTAAAACGTCTTGTACTTGAGCATTTCCACTTTGTATCCTAGTTCTTTATGGAGAACTGATACCATCGTCGTTTCTAAATTAAATAAGCCCCGTTCCCCCTCTCAAATAAGCCCCCCGTCTCTATTAAATGGACTTGGAATAAATAAACCCCCAGGGGTCGGGGGCTTAATAGAGGATTTACGGTATTCACCGCCGAGCTTAGCTAAGCTAAGGTCTTGAGAGGGAAACGAAAGTACGCGAACAAAGCAAAGGTTACTTACTTGTAGTATAAAAAAGCTTCTATCACTTTCCAGAAATATTGCCTTTCCAATTTCTCATCATCGGTTTCTTGACGACTTTCTTCATCGGAAAAATCTCTTGTTGTTCTTCCCTCCTCCACATTTCTTCCACCGTCCGCCATGTTGCTTTGATTTCTCCGCTGACACTTCAATGCTGGCGCCGTTGTTTATTCAACTCGGGACATATTATGGATTCTTACATGAGATCTAGGCAAGCAAATCCTAAAGAAAGCTACAAACGTTCTGCGAAGGTTACATTTGTAGCTTTATGGCTTTATCTTCAGCCTTTTATATGCTGCTATAGATTATTTTATATTTTGCACGATCGATTTAGTGGACCCAATGGCGACATTCCGCTGCAGGAAATGTCGCATTCTGTTGTTTTCTGTGCGCGAATTGGAGTCACACACAGTTAGTACCGATCAAGTTAATCAAGTAAGCTCAGATTTGGCTAGCTTTGACAAGTGTTCTTCATGGTTCCTGAAAGATGAGGATATACTTCCCTGGATAGCTGAAAGTGTTGAAGAGGTAGGTTTGCGTGAGGAATACTTAGACTGAACGAATGGTAGTTCCGAAAACGAAGCACTCGAAAACGAAGACCGAAGCACGAAGCACCCAAATCTTGAAAACGAAGACCCCTAGATCGAAAACGAAGCACCCAAAAACTCGAAAACGAAGACCACAAGATCGAAAACGAAGCACCCAAAAACTCGAAAACGAAGACCACTAGATCGAAAACGAAGCACCCAAAAACTCGAAAACGATTCGTTTTCCATTTAATATCCACACCCCCCCTATGGATGAGACTTTCTGAGGGGTCCCCTAAAAGACGTCATTTTCTGAGGGGATCCCTGAAATACGTACTCATCCATAGTAATTTCCAGAGGGTTCCCTAAAATACGAACTCATCCATAGTACTTTTCTGAAGGGTTTCAGAATAAATCATAGGTATTTCTAAGGCGGCTCCAATGTTTTTAAACTCATCCATTGGTATTTCTGAGGGGGTTAGGGCAACATTATTTCTGAGGGACTGCAGAAAAAGGAACATCATCCACAGGGGGGGTGTGGATATTAAATGGAATGGCCCGAAGACCACTAGATCGAAAACGAAGGCCCCTAAATCTCGAAAACGAAGCACCGAAAACTCGAAACCGCTGTAGGTTTAATATCTACAACTTTACGTCTTGCATGACGCAATCTGAATCAGGTGGAGGCAGCGGATGCGTCCGCACCTCCAAAGGTCCACAAAATCCATCCCAAGGTTTTATAAGAGCCTGCCAACTGTTTAACTGAACGTTTCTAGATAGGATATCCTGTATTTATTTCATTATTAGTCTCGCTATACTTGATACATCTTATCTTAATATGCATTTTTTCGGTACACATGCATGTTTATGTGTTAGCATTAGTCTCTGTTTGTAAAGGACAGACCAGTTTCGAGTTTTAGGGGTCTTCGTTTTCGAGGTTTGGGTGCTTCGTTTTCGAGTTTTGGGTGCTTCGTTTTCGAGTTTTAGGGTGCTTCGTTTTCGAGTTTTAGAGTGCTTCGTTTTCGAGTTTTGGGTGCTTCGTTTTCGAGTTTTGGGTGCTTCAGTTTCAAGTTTTAGGGTGCTTCCTTTTCGTGTTTTTGGGTGCTTCGTTTTCGATCTAGGGGTCTTCGTTTTCGAGTGCTTCGCTTTTGAAAGTACCCTGAACGCCCCGTGAGAAATGTTTCTTACAAAACAACTATGCAACAGACACAAGCCATGCAAACAACTTCATAAATGCTAAAAGTGATGCAAGAGAGAAACCTCTACTCACAGGGTAGGCATACCTTGAACTCAAAGTATTGTTCTTGCACAAAAGTGTTTTGAACATACATGTAGAAGTCCGGAGAGCCGATCAGTTGTAACCACAACTTTTTTTTTCTTCAGGCCCAATGGACAGAAGGAAAAATATACTGCCCTAAATGCAAAAGTCGCATTGGAGCATTTGACTTTATTCATGGCATTCAGTGCAACTGTGGAAAATTTACTATACCAGCTATCTGGATTCAGAAAAGCAGAGTGGACCACGTCTTACCTAACAGCCAGATAACTAATTTACATATAAGATACCCAGTCTCTTTTGACCCATTAACAGAGGTGCATTTAAGCAACATTTCAGAGGAACAAAGAAGAGTAACTGAAAATGATTGCAAGTTACTTGGACTTGAAAATGTCTGCAATTCTGAGATCGCATCCCCAGAGTATAAAAGTGAAGAGCTGGGTAGGTAAGAGATGCTTTGTCAAAAAAAAATGGTTCCAATACAGCTGTAGATGAGAATACAACAAGTGTTAAGAAAACTTAAGGTACATAGTGCTATCCACTGGATAGATCTCTATCCATTGGGTAGAGTAATTGGTGTCCCTAATACGTATCTGCTGGATATATAGAATACTTCATGGAAAGTGTGGGCGTACGTTATTTACACACTCATTGTTTTTGTATCAGAAATCTCACTCATTCGCTGTGCTCACTCGTTATATACATACTGAGACATTCATCATTTTGGCAGCCTTTTTATTTCCAAAATGCTTAAATTTGCTACTTTGCACCTTGAAATGACAAACAAAATGAAGCTTCAACTTATTAGTAAAAACGTTTGTTAATAGTATGTATATTTAATGAGGGTAAGGATAAGAGGTAATCCAAGAATTACAAGGAGTCATAAAGCCCAGCAAAATTCTGTTGCATATAATAAAACAATATTTTGTTTTATTTAATAGTTGGCTACGGTGCATCTACCATTAAAGTGTGTGAACCATTGTTTTTGTACTTTAAATACAGATCAAATACTACGGCTAAATCCCTCTGCAAATAGCACAGTTAAAGATAATACATGTCACATGACAAATAATCATGTCGGGCAGAAATGGAAAAAGATTAGAAAAAGGCAGCGGCAAGCAAGGTTACTTGAAGATGGTGCCATTGATTTGCACGATGAGATGAAGAAAGATCTAGAAGCCTCACAGGCAACCACTGGTTCTGGAAACATGTACAAGTGTTTAAGAGTTGATGAAGGGTTTGATAAATTTCCTATCAGGCATCAGGTATGAGCAACAAGTACATGTACATAGTGTAGGTTAGACTGCAATATTGCATTTTTATAGATGTTGGCTCGGTAGCAACGCAGGCAAAAGCATGGGTGCAAGAGTTCTTATTCCACTGCACAACAGCTAAGATGCAAGCTTTATGATTGTCCCCTTGGACCATTTGCATCTGCGAAAGTTTCAGCTGACACAAGATTCTTATGCTTACACTAGGGCTTGCATTCGTCTTGTGTCAATTGTGAAAACCAGCTGAGACATCTTTGACCCTCACGTACAGCCCTTAGCAAGGCTGTGTGGGAGTATATCTTTGACCCCACCTCCTTCGTTAACTCTGATGATGTGAGAATTGAACTTGTTTCCCATTAATGATGTTGCGAAAAAGAGCTGTACCAGTGAGCATACCTTGACACTCCTCAGTCTAATTTATCTTTGATGGACACTCCTCAGTCTGATTATACATAGTCTGATTTTTCTTTTAGTTTGAATCAAATTAATAATTTAAACTCTTCTTCATGGACCATAGACAACTAGAGAGGCCACACTTATGCAATAAAGAATAATTATAAAGCATGAAACAGCTAGAATTAACACAATCATGTGCTCACACTTCCTAATACAGTGACCCACATATTTCAGTCTCAGTTATATTGTATTCTTGCGTTTATGTTTGCATTTTACAGGTTCTTACACATGAAATTCAGGACCGTCATTGTTGTGCTGTCTGTCTCGATCTACTTTATGAGCCATTTAAGTGTTCTTGCGATCATGTTTTCTGTGACCCATGCTTACGTCAGTTGAACTTTAGAATTGGTAGAAATGGAACCATCAGTTGTCCTTTGTGCAGACAAACAGTTGAGCATGTGACTCCTGCCACAGGTACCACAGCCCTGTGTGTGTTACAGGTCAAAATTAAATTCAGGTAAAAAATTTTGAACCTAGCTTGATTCTCAACTTTCCATTCATGAATTAGAGCTAGGAGACAAAGGAAATAGAGAATCAACCTACGTGAAAAAAATTTACCTGAATTTAATTTTGACCTGTAACATCTGCATCTCAACTTTTTCAACATTATTGTTTTGCTAAAACTGGTTTTGGTAGTTAGACTGTTTACCTGTGTTGAAGGCCACCATTCTGTATGTCAGGAGCCCATCAGCCGATGGGCTCCTTTTTATGTATATTTTTTTCAGTTTTATAAATAAGGTTCAAACGCATTAACAGTACTGTTGATGAGAGAGAAATGTAAAATTTTCAATGCTTTCCTGGCATTAACGTAAAAACGCGTAGCCAAAAAGTTTGAATCAGGATTAGAATAAAAGGTTTTAGAGTTTCCAGTAACTTTGCAATCTTTTTTTTAAAAAAACTACACGTTATGTAAAAGGACTTGTTTGAATTTACGTTTTAATGTTGATTCATGAAAGAGTAAGGAAAAAATGGCCAAAGTAGCATTTTAATGCTTAAACGTTCATAATTTTTCTCCTTCTTTTGTGACTCTGTAAGTTTGTAATAACATACTCTTTAAGAACAATACAACTCAAACTGAAGTGCCTGATGTTCTCTCTCGTGTTGCTGTTATGGTTTTTCTTTAGAATTAAGAAGTGAGATAAGGAACACTTATGAAACGCACATTCTCAGGTAAGACCTCATAAAATAGGTGATTACATGATTGAGCCTGGTCGAGCAAACTGTAGTTGTTTAACAAAATTACGTGTATTATAGCGAACTCGTGTTCAAACGACGAGAATATCTTCATTCTTAGACTAGCACGTCATGCCATACGGTGTGTGATTTTTCCTTAATACTTGACACTGAATAACTCAGGACAATGCATGTATGTCTTATCATAAAGGTAGCGTTACAAGTATGGTTTTTTGCTGCTTTCACAATAATTATTTAGCGACAACGTTCTTTCTTACGGTATGGTGTATGTTATTTCTTGCTGTAGTAGAAGACTAGGAAATGTATTATGTGTCGTAGCCCCTTCCCCTTCCCCACTACACGAAAGGTTTCGCTTATTTGAGGCCATGAACCAGTATATTTGTACCTTTTGTAATGTGCTGTACAGGCTTGAGGTGTAGCTGTAGCTGGAGTGCTAAAAAGGATGGCTATTCTTTAGATATCGTCATGTCACCAGCGTGGAAGAATTGGCCGAACCTAGGACCCTCCAAATCACTGTTAGGGCGCTCCCTCTACTCTTCTAGAGAGAGAGGCCATTTACAATATTTGCAGTTGCGGAAAAGCTGTTTCATGAAGTACATATTCTACCTAATAACAAACTGGAAATAATGGTTCTCTGAAAAGGAGAGGGGTTTGGATTTTTGGGCAGATTATACATATACAACGGGTACAAAACTTGCACTATGGAGTTACCGTTAGAATTTCTTTTTCCCTTAGGAAACGTGAAAAAACCGAGCGTCGTGCGTCCTACAGAAAGTGGCCGCTTCCTTCAGGGAACTTGCCTTCAAGGAGAGTTTCATCACGTACACATAATATTTCCGTCGCCGCTATTCTAGATACCTGTATTATAGTAATGGTATGCGGATTCCTGTTATTCCTTGTATTAACGGTAGTTGTACAAGTTCCATCTGACTGATAGATGTTCAGTGTTGTTGTTATATATTGGGTGAGAAAATGTTTTAAGAATTGAATAAACTACTAGTTTTAATGTAAAACTGAGTGCTGGTGTTGGAACTGGGAATGTTACTTGTGATAAGAGCCATTTGTATAGAGGGTGCCGCTGCGAAAAATGCAACTCAATACACCATTCTCATGATCTTCGTAGTAAATTATTTGACGCGAAAGGGGCGAAAGCGTGTTTTTTTCTTAAGACCACGTGAATATCTGGCTAAAAGGTTAAAAGAGATGCTTCCTAATTCCTGCTGGCCCATAAATGGCGATGATACACAAAAAGAATGAAAAGCAGCGGTTTCTTGCCCAATATGAGCAACGCGAGGGCATAACATAAAAAGGCCACCAGTAAACTCACCGTAAGCTAATGTTGGGGCAAACTTGGAAGGCGCGGAATATGCTGAAGCAGGAGCAGATCTTAACACCCGCGCTCTTTACCAACAGATAAAGATGAGACTCTAATCATTCATTCTCTCAGCGTCATGAATGAGGAGTGTCTAGAGCTTTCCTACGACAAGATCGTGGAAGATGCCGCGGTAAGTGCGACCACCAACACCTTCCTACCTGCTTTTACAACCTGCTGGGCAAGATGGCGCTTGTACCACCACCTGGACTTCGTGGATCGCAATGTCCTGTACGTCGTCAGAGACTCTCTCATATAAATATGGTGGCCAGCGTAACCCAAGATCCCTCTTGGCAACTTTCGTTCGCAGATGACAGACGAGTCAGACCCAGGTGGTAGTACAAGAGATTTACATCATTGAATTTCTATTGTATGGATCTACGTTTAAGCGAACAGAGGTAAAAAAGGGAGATCGGAACTCAAGATCCGGAAATGAAGCACAGGAACCGTTGGCCGAGCTGCGCAAGATTTATTTCCCCATCTCCTATTTTATCGCTCTCAATTCTCTTTCCAAAATACTGACCACAGTGAGACGGGACAAGCAATGAGGAGTGGTCTACCAGAAACGCGATACCCTTGAGGCGCTCCAGTATGGGTACAGCTGATTCCCCCCGGACGAGCTTTTTCAAAGGTGTTACTAAGATATTTTTGAAGGGTTTCATAAGGTTTTGCAACGGTTTGACAAATTTTTAATGCCAAGGTTTCTCCTAACGGGAGTGATTGCTTGCGTTGTGCGTAATCGTGCCCTATACAACCTACAAAATCTCGGATTTTTGCTTGTTGTCAATAGAGTATTGTCTCGCTAACCTTCGTAAAACGGCCTGAAACCGTCGACAGAAAGAACGACAAAAAGGCGTCAATTGAGCTTGAGCACAGCAAAATGTGAGTTCGGGAAAAATAGGGTGGAGTTTGGGAGTCATCAGTTTTTAAGGGTTACTTCGCGAAAGAAAATAACGTGATGTCAACTCGCTGTTGAATATCAACAGCAATTCTTCAGAAATTTATTTACAGTCACCAGAAAATCAAATTTACATTTTTGCGAATGTCCTTCATTTCCCTGTCGTAAGAGCATTTATTTTAATTACTTATTTATTTTTTCTATTGTTTAATTAATTTAATTATTTATTTATGTTTTCAACCATGCAGGGCTAGTTTTGAAATGCTCTGAAACCAACACAAAATTCCCGCATATTGTTGCTTGTCCTTTATTTCCCTGCATTGTTTGCACCTAGTGCAATGACGTCATCGGACCCTGCTTAGTCCATTGTCAATACTAACCATAAATTCTCCCAAAATTAAGTTATTTAGGACATGGTCTGCAAAGACCCAACAAAACATGTATTCTGTAATTAATATAATCAAGCAAGGTTAGGTTTTAGGCCAACAGGCGTGAAACCCTTAGAATGCGACTGTCATAATAATTATCTAATATCACCAAAGAAGAAAAGGAAGAAATATTACAGTGTAATTATCTTGATCGGCCAATTCAGAAGGTGTTTGGAGAATGTATTTCTATTTTTTTTATGAACCTTTTCCAAATTACCAAATTTTCTGTTTAGTTTATACAAACGTTTTACTTTAATATTGAACTAATAGCTTTTGTTTGTGTTGTCATGTGACATATTGTTGACTATTCAATTAGTCGATCATGGATCATTTTAAATTTGTTGTCCTTTTATGGCTCATGCAACTTCTTCGGCTATAAAATCTGCAAGAGCTCTTCGAATTCTTTCTCTAAGCTCTCGCTTGTCCGTGGATGCTACAATCTCTCGTAGCATGGGGGATTTCTTTAATTTTAGTTCTTGTTCTTCGATCACCGACTTCCTCAGGGGAAGTTTGTCCACTATATCCTCCAGCCTTTTGATTGCTTCAGCACGAATTCTCTCTTTGTCGCCAGGATGGTCTTGGGCGAATCTAATCATTTCCTGTTTGACCTCGTTAATTCTCTCTGCGTAGCAGAAGACGAAAAACGTGTTTAATACATCCAGAAGCATACGTTGCCTGCTTTTCACTTATCTCTTAATGTTGACTTTGGCAGAGAACAACAAAACTCCTACCACGGGACAGGGGCACCCAATGCGGTCAATTTTCGCAACATATCTGTTCGCAAACGATTTGAGATCTAGAATTTTCGGAACATTTGTTGTAACATTTTTAGGGGATAAAAATATGCCCATATCTACCGTTTAAATACTAAAGTACGTTTAACAATGCTATGTTTGAGTGGTTTTGAACTATGTTTTCGTTACGTGCCCCTGACGGGACATTTTACTCGTTACCCATCAAATGCATTTTAGGTTTATTTCTCGTTTTTTAACTCTGTAGGTTAACATTGTCTATAAGGAGTAGTCTAATTAATCTTGGTAATAAAGTTAGAGGCTTTCGAAACACCAAGTGGTTCCAAATCAAAGGTTTTACCCATCTTTCAAGGCATTTAATACAGGCAATGCATTTTGCTATAGCTATGTCAAAATCTATGGCGTTGCCAAACCAATCGAAAATAATCGTACAGTAAACGAAAGTGCTTTACATTCAGGTTATTCATTCAGGCGTTAATGCATGTTGGATGATAGGGGAAAGGTGATACGAACGAGGGCCGAAATCAATCACACTTACTTCTAACGTAAGCAATCTCCGCGTCCTTGATGAAAGCAGTTTCTTTTTCAAGCAGCTCAGATTTGTGCTTGTCACTTATTTTGAGGTCCTCCATGAGGTCCAGTGCCAGCTTAGCTGCGATGGCTTCATGATGCTCCGGAGTTAACCCTCCCACTTCGGTCAGGGCGTCGGCGTACCCCTCAAGTGCTTCGACATCTGTTAAGAAAAACATCTTTATTATAATTTGTCATTATCGTTATCGTTAGCTGATTATCTTTACCAGTAAGCTACTGAAACCTTACCAACCAATGAATGCTAATGTTATAGTGCCTATGACACTATTTCCAATTACATGACTGTTAACTCGGTTCCACAATGACACTATTGTTGATGGGCCGTACGAGGTTGAATATTCATTTGGTACTTTTGTTGTGCTTGTTTTTGTAAAATCAGACTCAATTGCGGCATATGCGTGCTGTGGGTATTCCACATGACACCATGGTAGCCATACTTTTCCAAAATTGTAAAAAAGCACTCATGTTTGCTGTTACAAGCCAACTGTGTGGGAGTTGAACTCTTTTCTTATCGAAACGCTTTCTTTTGTTCCAAGAAATTTGCATAGAGGCTGGTCATGCGGCTGAAAACTCTCGGACGTTGTCGTATTTGCCTGATAAAATGCTTACGTATTTTAAGCTTAAAAACGATAAAAAATATCAAATGGCAATTGCGAAGGATATATGGCTATGATGCAAATGAATCTACCCCTTGTAGGCTGTTAACATTTGCGGTGAGAGTAATTAGTTCGCCAGCACCATAGCGATATTCAATATTTGATACTCAATATTCGATGTTTAGTTAAGGATTTAACCATACATGACAAGTATAAATTGAAATTGTGTTGTAGCTCTGAGGAGCAATCACACATTGTTACCTTTGTCGACCTCATGGCCACCTTGCTTAGCGTTCTCTGCGGGTAGGGACTGCTTTAGAGAATCGGCAAGCTTTGCGTGTGAAGACAAAAACAGATCATTACACTTAACGAGACAGCATCATAAAAACTTTCCCAATTTTGCTTTTAAACTACGCTGAAATTATGATGGTACAAAAGAAAGACCTCGATTTCATTCTTCAATGTGGGAAAAACAGGTGACGTCAGGGCGGAAGAACAAAAGCATTCGTCCCCTCTGGGAGCTAAACCACATTTTCATGAAAATGATTAAAAAGAATTATAGTATTGACCACCAACATTGTCACGTGATTTCATACCAAGAACAGCTTTGTGCTCTTTTCCTAAAAGCCATGAAAACGTCGGACCAACTCGTTCAAGTTTTTATAATTATCTCGCCCTTCGAACCGTCTTACGTGCAAGAAACTTCGCAACTATAGGCGTACGGGCCGGGGGGGCGAGGGGGGCTGCAGCCCCCCCAACGTTTGGGCAACTCAGATTTTTTGGGCAGCAAGAGAAAATTTGGGCAAAGCCAGTTGTTAAAGACGTTTCCATGTTTTTTATTATTATTATTATTTTGAAGAGATAAATATTTTCTATTTTAACCAGAAGTCGGCGTAATAATTCAGTTACGTTCACACGAGACAGTGGTTGCCTAGCACGTGATGAAGTGAAGTTTGAATTACGATAAAATCATAATTTTTTTAAAAAAATCTATTGAGCGGTTTAAAAATTATTCACTAATTTGTTTAAGTAGACCGAAATGTTTACAAAACCCCTAACAAGATCGAGCGCTAATCAAATCCTGCCTTATAGCAATTGGCAGGAGCTATCTCCATGATCTTTCATCCACGTTTTTAAAAAGATTGAAACTACTATGAGATGAAATTGCATGTCAAAAGCGCTCCGTTTTCTTGAGATTACGACTAAACTTCAAGATTTTCGTTTTTTACCTTATTTCTAACTTCATCCCAAAATATCTCGATAACGCTCTTACAGTTCCGTTTTAACTTCACGAATATCGAGGCGACTATTCCCAGCAGGGGAGGATAAAAAACTGGCGACCCTGAACGATTTTGTAAAAAAAACAGTTCCCATGAAAAGTGAGAAATATTCCTGCAAAATGGATATAATAGGTAATGGCGTCATTTCGTTGCTATGACAGCTCCGATGTCATTGCAATCCTGATCATGACAAATTTCCCTCTTTATCTAATACAACTGTGGTGGTAATTTTTTCCAAATGTTTGTTTGTGGCGATGTAGTTTATGCTCAAACTTGGCAGGTATTGACTCTGAAAAACTATATCGAGCCACTTTCATATCCCAGTACGGCCTATTTTGTTGCATGACCCTAGTTTCCTACTACTTGCAAGAATTTTTTGGGCAAATGGATTACCGCCGCCCCTGGCAAAAAATTGCCCGTACGCCTATGTTCGCAACAGTAGTATCAGGTGGTAACCTTCAACACTACCAGACCACTTCAATTGGAGTCATATTTATCAATTACAGAAAAAAAGTGCTTAACGTTAATTACAAATTGTATTCAGACAACACACAGCTGTTCAAAACGCTGCCATGACGTCACCATCAGTGCAGCTGGCTAGCAGCTAATAGAGTTTATCGTAAGGTCCACAGGCGCAGGGAATTTAATTTTTCATTTTATTCAAATTCGCCACGGTGACTCAAAATGGTGACAGGGGATAAAACGTGACTAACGTACGATATCAACGCCTTCATTACCCACCCAGCCCATGAAAGGTTGCACTACCCTAACGGTGTCTACGACCCCTACTCTTTACAAACAGCAACGTGGATTCTTTTACTTCCCACAAAAACCAGGACAGTGAAAGAGCTATGACAGGGAGCCTACGAGTTTTCGTCCTTATCCAAGAAGACTAGAATGTCTAACCATTTGTAGATGTCACAACAAAGGCAGCAGGTCTACTGTTCGCTTGTCAGATCTGTACTCGTATATGCAGCAGCTGCGTTTGCTAATCTCACCAATTATAAAGCCAATGACTTCAAGAAAATCCAGAAGCGCCGTCTTCATTATCTTTCCCTTTACTTTATACGAAGACGCACTGGCTAAGGCAGGGATCGTGAGCTCAGAGAAACGTTGCCAAGATGATTGTGTCAATTTTGTAAAACAATCTTCCCTTTAATTCAAAGCAGAATTGTTCCGCTCATCGATCATTTACCACCCTACCATCTAATACCGATCGTTTCGTGAATTTTGTAACCGTAAAAACTGCAACCGTTTAGTATCCTAATTATGTATTGTTTACGTAACCAGCCTATACCTGCAATTCAGCTATAAGCTGCAAAAGGTGTCAATCTGATAGACAAGTCATTCATTCACATTCTCCTCAGTTATTTTAAGAACCCAATGGTTGGTCCGCCGGGGTTTGAATCCGCCACCTCCCGTTCAGCAAACTGGCGCTAATACAATTGAGCTAACCGTGCGGCGGTGTAAGTGGCGAAATGCAGTTAATTTCTTTCTCTCTGTTCATTTTAGGGGCTGTTGACACTGAGGCGGGGGAACCCAGGAAGGTGAGGTAACCGGTTTAGGTGGGATAACCCTACTATCATGTAACCGTAATCAAATTAAAATTAGAGATTATATGGACAGGCGGGTTCCTCCTCCTGAGCTGGTTACCTCACCTACCTGGGGTCCCCCACGTCCATGTAAACAGGCACTTAGTTCGTTTCCTTACCTCACCAAGTTCCTCTTTTTCTTTTTGGTTAAGATTTGCTGAATCTACATCTGCGACGGCGCTATCGTCTTAAATTGGAATACAAAAAAGGAAAAGTCAAGGGTCTCTTCACGTTAATATCATTTTCCGTCCGCTTTAAGGTTTCAGAGGTGGTCAGTTAATTAGGGATCCGAACACTACTCAGAGTGAAACTGTAAAATACCTTATTTTGTATTGTAATTTGCTTACAGAGTACTTAAGAGTTCGTAAGAACTCGTTGAGACGTGTCCTTACGTTTCAGATCGAATTGGAATTTAGAAGTGTTGGTTTTTTAGGAGAGGCGATAACGAAGTACTCGACGAAAAACCTCTAGGAGCAAGGGAGAGAACCAACAACAACCACATATGGCAACGACGCCAGGATTCGAACCCGGGCTACATTGGTGGGAGGCGAATGCTCTCATCACTGTGCCACCCTCTTTTGTCTAAAATGGAGTTCGATTCTCTTTATGGCTTTGGTTATTAAGAATCGACTAAGTTAGAAATTTAAAGTTGAACATGTTGCCTGAGTGATTTCGGCTAATCTGCCCCTTGATTTTATTGCGGGCGCATTTTCTCGCACTTGGTTCCAAGAACGAAATGTTTGATGTTTGAACTTAGTGGTCTAGTCTTTGTTGAAATTCAAGGGATAAAAGTACGACTTTTTTGTGGACTCGTTCGGAATTTGATCGTTTCATCAGTTGAGAGCTGATTGGCCTTTCGTTCCTCCTTTGGGCATATATTTTTGTCTTGGGGGGGGGGGGAGTACTGCCATGTATGGGCTATATAGGTATGTGCCGCTGTGAAGGGTATGGTTTTCAATCAGTTTCTCTAGGATAGGGTATATGAATCAGAGCGTTTGGGTCTAGCATAGGGAAAGGAAACCGCTCTGTTGGTTGAAGATTTTATCTAGACTAGGGAAACAGCTACTTTCTAGGATAGGGGGGATTTGGGGAGTTTACTCTAGTATAGGGTAGCAAAATTCAGCTGAACTCGCTCTGGTATAGGTTAAGGGTTCCAGGACCCAGCGGCACATCCCACCCACAAATTCCTAAAGTACCCCCCCGGGATTTTTTTCCATTATATCTGTACCTTGAGTCCATATCTGGTCCAAGGTGCTCTTGATTTCATCTCTACCGACGAGCTCCTAATTATGACAAGAAAAGAACTTGCAAATCAGACACCTTTGCACATTAAAGTAAGAACGACCTACCTTGACCATTTAAATACTTGAACAAGTGAGATTACTTAAGCAATGCATCTCTGTCCGGTAGAAAATGAGATTTATAAGGAAAATGCTGTTGAAACACGTGATGTTACAAAATGTGCGCGTTCGGCCAGGATTATTTATTCTTATCATGACCCAGAGACCCTTTATTATCAAATGGAGGATTGAAATTGATCACGAACAGTTATTAAGAAGTGAGAACTACAATGTTTTTTTTGGTACCCTCATAGAGGCGTGATACGTGAACTCAGGAATATCACCCATGTTGGTAATTTTTTTTCCTTCTGATTTGGTTTCTTAATTTATATTTTGCTCTTTTATTATAAATCGGTAAAATGCTCAATGAAATACTAATACGGTGTAGGGCAGTGACATTTTACTCACTTGGTTGTCAGTCTTTAAACTCTGAGACTTTTCCTTCAGGTTACCCTCTTTCGCAGAGGCAGCCACACGTCCTTGTCCATCAGCCAGGGCGCTGAATAAATTCTTAAGAGCTGCACCGCTTTTTTGTTTCCCAGCCACATCCTCAGACTCAACCTTTGTTTCCTGTTCACCGCTCGAGGCATCATCGGTCGTTTCCGGCAAGCTGTGGATGATGTCCGATTTTCTTTCGATTTGTTTACCCAAAGCCGCTTGTGCTATGTCATCCATAGTGTCAGTGATAACCTTGCCTCTTCTACTAAGTTTGTTTTCCGCGCTCCCTTCTTGTAAACTATCTTTATCCTCTTCGTCCTGAGTGGAGTCTTCGCTTTCATTTTCATCATCTTCATCTCTTGGAATGAAACTTCGTTTGTACTCACCATCTTCTGACTCACCAGATTCACCACTTTCGACAGACTCGCCGCTCTCGCCAGATTCACCACTTTCTCCAGACTCGCCGCTCTCGCCAGACTCTCCGCTCTCGCCAGATTCTCCGCTCTCACCAGATTCTCCACTTTCTCCCGACTCGCCGCTCTCGCCAGATTCTCCGCTTTCTCCCGACTCGCCGCTCTCGCCAGATTCTCCGCTTTCGCCAGACTCGCCGCGTTCGCCCGACTCACCGCTTTCACCTGACTCTCCGCTCTCGCCAGACTCGCTACTCTCGCCCGACTCGCCGCTTTCGCCTGACTCTCCGCTGTTGCCAGACTCTGCACGTTCTCCTGACCCTGAGGAATCCTTTGATTCTATAACATTAACAAGCAAACAAAGTTTGGTACAAGATGACACATCTTTCAGAGGAGTGATTTGTTTTCTTTTAGACCTTACCTGCCTAATACACTACAGGTGTATTTATTATTATCCTTTACAAAAAATAACCGCTTCCAAAGGGTAATGATTCAGTGATTACTGTAGTTGCAATCCATGCTTATGACTGTGGTTCTTTAATTAGTTGTTATCATGGTATTCTTTCAAAAATGAGATAGATAGTCGCTCAAATGTTTCTGTTGGTCAGCTCAATACAGTAACGCATCTCATTCGTTATGTCATTATACCTTGTTGTTCCTGTGGTATGTCACTACGTTTGGTAAATTCTTCGTCTGCTGATTCGCCAGATGACTGTGCATATCCAGACTCTTCGCTTTCTCCGCTGTCGCCACTTTCAACTGCCTGGCCGCTTTCTGCGCTTTCAGTGGATTCTTCTGAGTCTTATTTTTGTTTTAAGAAAACAGTTGACATAGTTAACTTACATTTGATTATTTGTCTGGTCTTAAATTCATCTTACGTCAACAGCAGAAAACAAAATTGGTAAAACCGGCTACATTAGGCCCGTCTAAATATTCAAAATGGCTACTTTATTGACTAGTAAGTCGCAATGCCGCGTTTTTTAAATTTTTAGAGCGCCCTACTTTAATTAGCTTTACTTCTAACGGGATTATTTGTTACCTTTGCAGACAGCCGATATCACGAAGTTTGCTCTAAGCCATTTTTAAAGGCATTTATCTAGAAGCCGTATTTAAAAATCACTGCACATTTGAATTTTAGGCCATGTTGTTACATTTCGTTAAGAATCATGCAAGTAAAAACTCCAAGAGCTAGTCTTTTTCATTGAGATTGGCCGTAGATTCAGTCTATAAAATGCTGCTTATAAAATTATCAACTATCTTTTTGCTTAGCATTAGATTTTGAAATAAGAAAATTACCCAAGCAACATTTAGTTGTTTAGTATACCAGTTTTACAGTACGAACCGTTGTGCTCTTGAGGTATCTCGTTCCTTTTGGTAATCACTCCATCTTCAGAATCACCTGATTCTCCACTTTCTCCAGACTCGCCATTTTCGCTTGACTCTCCGCTTTCGCCAGATTCTTCACTTTCATCAGAGTTAGAACTCCCTGAATCATCTTGAGAAGCTTTTTCTTAAGTAAAGGAAAACCACAATACAGGTTATAAAACAAAACCACAATCAAAACATGGCCCTGGCACACACACATAAGGAAACTTTTACTTGCGTCGAAAACGTTGTTTTCACTTCGAAACTTCAACTGCTTTGATTCCAACTGAATAAGAGCTTTTCAGGTACGAACAAAGTTACTAGGGGATGTCAGAATCTTAGAGGAGATAGTTTTGTATAGTTATGGTCATAAGATTTCTCCCCCTTAATTACCTAGCTAAAAGAGAACAAAATTTCAATTGTGTGATCATTTGTTGGCGGCGTCTCACTGTATGATTCATAATGCATGTTAAATTTTCAGGGATGGGTAATTGAACGAAGCCTAGTTAAGTGCGTGGTTTAAGACAATTAAAAGGCGTTTGTATTTAGATAATTTTTCAAGGTGTTTATATTAAGTTGATAAATTGTATGGTAGTCTGGCCTGTAAGTCTCATGACAATTTCAACGGCAAACAACGTCTAGATGTTATGGTTAGCCAAATTCAAAGTGGCTTAATGTCAATCTGCTTCTTTCTAAGTAAAGGTTCTGCTATTATGTGCTGTTTTACCGTCTGTTTTGCTATCGTCTGGTATTTCGCTTCTCTTTGATATCTGTCCTTCACCAGACTCTCCGGATTCCCCGGATTCGCCAGATTCCCCGGATTCACCGGACTCTCCAGATTCGCTAGATTCTCCGGAGTCACCAGATTCCCCAAAATCCCCGGATTCTCCAGATTCTCCGGATTCACCTGATTCCTCTGAACTCTGTCCTGATGCACTGGCTTCCACCTCTACGGAGACTAGGAAAAAGAGACAAATATTAAGGATTAATAAAAGTAAAAAACATTATGTATATGACGTGGGCGTGCAGTTTTCGCGTTATCTAAATTAATTGTGTGTTCGATCTTACCTTTAGCATTTCTCTTATCCTCTCTTGCGATTTCATCTCTTTTTGTAATCTGGCTATCTTCGGCCTGCCCAGATTCGCCACTCACTCCGCTTTCCCCTGATTCACCACTCTCTCCACTTTCCAATGACTCCCCACTCTCGCCGCTTTCGCCTGATTCACCACTTTCGCCGCTTTCGCCTGATTCACCACTTTCGCCACTCTCGCCACTCTCGCCACTCTCGCCACTCTCGCTGCTTTCGTTTAAGTCCCCAGATGCACTGCCTGATTGGTCGCTCTCCGTAACTTTTTCGGATTGGTCACTCGCTTTAGCTGTCTGATCTGATTGGTCCTTTTTCAAATTTTCCTCTGACCGTTCACCCTCAGGAAAGTCTGATGTCTTTGAAACTTCTTTCGCTTCTGTAAATTGGAATCTTTTATTTACTAAATTCGACTCATTCAAATCAGAAGCAAAGATAAATTAAGGTCAAGTTGCATTTCTTTGTTTTGCTGTTACGCTTCTTAATGAAATGGCAACATTGACTGTTACAAAAAGAAAGGGTTCATTAAGTGAAGTAAAAGTTGCTGGCACTAACATTATAGAATACCAGACAATCTTGCGACAAAGCCTTTTAATATTCAACATTATTTGTAAACTTCCGTAATATTGATTAGTTTAATTTTCCACTTGATATTATTTTGTATCCGTCGCCGTAATTTTTACGCCATCTTCGAAAAATTGTAATTGAGGAGGCTAATTAACATAAGCTCTATAGTTTCCTTTAGGCCTCCTCGCCATTTCTTCGTACAATTCTTTTTGGCATTTTTTTGTAATTATTGTAATCGTGTGGCAAATAAATATATACAAAGACAAATGAATACCAAAGAGTATTGCAAATCAATGTTCAAAGAACGATTGAAATTTCTGATGGCTGCGGATTAAGTAACTACCACTAAGAAAGACTTTTAATTCTTACCGCTTTTGCTTTCTGTGGGTATTTCGCTCCGCTTTGACTCTGAACTGTTGCTTTCCTCGTCGGATTCACCAGAATCTCCAGAGTCTTCAAAATCTCCAGACTCCCCTAATTCACCAGAAACACCGGAGGATTCAAAGTTGCCAGAATCTCCTGACTCGCCAGAATCTTCGTATTCTGCCGATTCAACAGAGTCTCCCGTCTCGCCAGCCTCATTGGTTCCATAATCTCTTTTATCCTCTGAAAATCAATATAATTACGGGTTAACTAATGCAACATTTTTGGACCATATCACAACTGCTGCTGTAAAATTTTGGTCATTTAGTATAGGGTGATCGAGCTTGGTTTGTTAACAGTGTGTTCTGGTCAGCACTGAGAGGGTCGCCTGATGGACGACTACTTTCACACAGAACTAACAGGAAATACATGTTACGTGGTATCTCCTTTCATGTACGTTAATAAATACTCATAAAACCTTCGAATGAATGGTTGAATTAAATGTCAACGGATTTAAACCTAACTGACCCTTTTCTTTTGGAACTTCATCACGTTTGCTTATTCCTGAGTCGCCCGATTCACCGGATTCCGCTGACGCGCCAGATGCCCCACTCTCTCCAGATTCTTCTGATTCCCCGCTCTCGCCAGATGCGCTGGTTTCGTCGCTCTTCTCCTTCTCATTTACATCTGTAAGATAATTAATCTGCGTCAGTTTTTGTTGTTGCTGTTGTTGCTTTTAACAAGTGGCTGGCTGTACTTCTTAACTAGCCAAACAAAAGCTTGAAAGCGTAATTACCAAAAAAGGCTTTAGATCAGATGGCTTTGAGATATTTATCATTAGATACCTTGAGATACTTCGTTTCTGCCTACGGTACGGTAACACTGCTAGGCGAATATGTTTGATATGTAGTTACATAAAAAAGAACCATGAGTTTTCTCCGGGGCAAGAGGCAGTCTACCCGAGTACAGGGTTTTGGCAATTTACCTGAAACGCTATATTTTAAAGTCGATATCTCTTAATACTTGATGTAAAAAACGAAAAACAATAAGTTAAGTTACCCTAACTTGCCCAGTTGTAATTTGAAACATTTTTCCTTTATAAGCCAAAAAATTATCCAAAGATCCACTTCACCGGGCTATGTATCTAAGTCTAATAAAAGATAAATTTGACCGGAAAAAATTTAACCTGCTATTTGTATGTTATGCATTGGGAGTCGTGTCATTTGCACGCAGTCTACCTTTCTCTTCCTTTGGTATTTCATCTCTCTTGGCCATATCTGACTCACCATCCCCATTGTCCCCTGATTCCCCAGAATCTTCTGCGTCACCTGATTCGCCAGAGTCTCCACTTTCGCCTGACTCGCCAGACTCTCCGCTTTCTCCTGACTCGCCAGAAGCACCTGATTCTTCGGACTTTCCAGACTCTCCAGCATATCCAGATTCACCAGAATCGCCAGAGTCTTCAAAAAACCCAGATTCACCCGAGTCCTCGAGATCGCCGGATGCCGACGAATCGTCTACACTCTTGGAGGAGGTCTTGGACTTGTTTTCTTCTGATTCGCCTTGGCTAGAATCACCAGATTCTCCTGAATCGTCCGCGTTACCTGATTCTGATGTAGAGCCAGAGCCGTCCATTTCCTCGTCGTCATCATCATCTTCACTGTTATGTTCTAAATGGCAGTATTGAATTATGGGTTTAAGAATCGGGAAAAGAGGCTTAAAAAGGAGAGAGTTATTTTAGATTGAACCAGGGTTTCGCTTGTCCTGACTTAAAGAATTCTTTTTTTTTTTGTGCGTTTCTAATACGAAGAAACCCGGAGACAAAAGCGCTAATTCACTGAACAGTGCAGCTTTCTAGCTTTTCCGGACCAGATCTTATGTCCAGGAAATTAGTTTTCCTTAGTGTGTTGAAACCAAGTTTTCTTTAAGTAAGTAGGGAGAAGATTTATTTCTAAATAACAGTCACGTATGTGACGTCTTTGTTCTATTTTGATAACCTTTTTAAGGTTGTGATGTAGTATTGATCCTGGCTCGCTTTGGTTGCGTCGAGACTTACAATGTATTTCAATTGCATATTATTCCTTACTGATGAAATTGTCACATGTCACACAGTAGAGAGCTTTTATAGATTCTACGACAAGAACGACCACGAGAACACGATTTTCCCAATACAGAGTAGATCTCGTCTGCGAAGCAGAAAATGTGATAGCCATCGTCATTCTACTACGAGTTTCAGCGAGAATGTCGTGGTGGCGAAAACAAGTTGTCAAATGTTAGGAATTTTATCATTTAGCGATCGAGAGAGGGCTTGAACTTCTTCAACGGAAATAGGCCCGCCAATTTTTGTGAATGAAGCTTCCCTGGGTGTCTAGTTTTAGAGAACAGGTGCGGAAAACAAAAATTAAATGTCGTCCTGGTCCTCGAATCTAAAGCTCTGTACGACCATAACAGTGTCAGTATTATAAAGCACACAATCAACGTTATGAATATCTGACAAAAATAATTGTGTTAGCTACCTTCCTCGAACACTTCTGTTGGGATAACATTTCTCTTGGCGTTTTGAGGCGATGTCTCCTGACTTGTTTCTTTTGTTGCATCATAAGACGAGCCACTGTCTCCAGATCCGCTAGACGTAGTATCCCCAAGGGACTGGCTTGATTTTGCTACTTTAAAGTTTTCCGTGTCTTCTGATGATTCGTCTTCTTTAGGCTTAAATATCTTTGGAGTATCTGAAGCGAAACACACCCACAATTATCACACGTTTTAATTGAACGTTTTCCCAATTAAAGACTAAGTGTTTCTTTTGAATCATATTCTACTTTTGCATCCTCGTATACCTTAGAGGAATGCCAGTTTGTTATCGGTAGTTAAAGTAGATATGCTGCATATTCTCCATTCGTGCTTTAGACTGGATAAAAACAGCCTAATGTGTGTTTTCAAACATTCAGGCACCACTTTGGTGAGTCGATTCTCTCTTCAATCAGCTTAATGTTTGTTTGCCATTCAATGAATGAGCCTCGGCGCAATATATTTTTCAAAGACCTTCTGAGCGGTCGGGAACGGGAGAAATTTTTTTCTCAAAATTGGCTTTTATTTTTGTCAAAGCTTGTACTACTTTTGCTGGTCCATGTTGTCATATTAGACTCGCAGTTTTTAGTTCTTAGGAAACGTGTTTCTTTATAATCCCCGTGGTTTCTTCCAGGTTTCTTCGCTATCTCCTTCCGTAACTTTCTTAACTTTTTCATGATTTGAGATATGGCGAATAAACATGAATGAATGAATGAATGAATGGTTTACGGTAATTAATGGTGGGGAAATTGCAGGAGGCTTTTCGTCGTTTTGAATTTATATATGGAGGGGGTTGTACAAGTAACTGCTTTTTTTCGAAATTATCGTTGTTATATTGTAAGTTATGCACAAAAAACATAGAAATCAATGCCAAAGTCCTGATACCTGTTAGTCCACTCTCCGAATCGTCCGAGTCTCCGGAAGTTAAAGCTACCGTTGGCGCAACGCTAGACTCACTTTTCGACGCCTCTGGTTCAGCATATTCTTCAGCTGGAATAAAACTCCTTCTCTTTTTTGCAAGGTTGTGAATTCCATTTGAAGATTCTAGATTGTTTGTGTCTGGGATTAAACTCCTCACTGTATTGGACGGCTTCCTGGGTTCATTTTCCTCCCCATCTAAAGTAACGATTTGAAAAACGTTTTCGCTAATTGCCTTAAAATAATTGCTATGCTTTTTATGGAGAAAAGTTGTCCAGTGTAGAGGGTCATCCACCTATTGGAGCTTCCCCTTGTGAGCCAACTTTTCATACATTTCCTTACAAAACGTTGCGAACCGTTTACGCGAAAAAAAAAAGTTTGCTCGGCTAAAAGGGTGGCCCGCCTAGCCTGGTCATCTTCCGGGCCGGGGAAACTTTTATCCATAGTTTTGCCCTCGCCCAACCGGGTCAACTCGAGGCAATCAGAGCATGCGCAAACGATGTTGGCTTGGAATACCCTACACCAAGGAGTATAAACGTTAGCTAAATGCACGGGACTCGGCTAGGAGGGTGACCCCCTTTCCCGGGACAACTAAACTGCATGTAAACGGGGTCTAAAATGTCTTATCCGTGCGTTTCTATTCTTAAAATCACAAAGAAACTCATTCTGAACTGTTCCTTACTGCATTCCACGCCCAGTTTTTATCTTTTCGTTGTAAACACAACGATGTTTATAAATTATTCCGGACCATACAAACATAAATTACTCCAAAACAAGAGGTGCCAAATTCACGTTGTAATGTCGCTAGTTCCGCGTTCCGCTGTCGGCACTTTGTAATCATGATGTGCTAGTGAAAAAGGTCATGCCTACGAATGGTTTTAGAGACTCCATCTAAACAGTATTTACGTAGATTAAACAATGCATTTTAAGGCAAGAACTACGAGGAGCAAAGCGTGTTTAAATACCTGGAATCTCAGAACGGCGAGTTTTGTCTCCATCCAAAATTGCATCAACTATGGCAGAAATTATTGTTCTAACTGTGAATAGAGATACCAACACTTAGAGATTAACGAATTTTTTAGTCATAAGGGTAGAAATGCGCGTAGCGGATTTGCAGAAGTTAAACTAAAATGTCTGTACTAACTGAAATCATGCCTACTTCCGTGTTGTCCCAAGTCTTTGTTGTTTTAAATGGAGGTGAGGCACCCCCAGAGGTGAGGTAACCGCTTAGGCGTGGTGACCCGCCTGTCCATATTTTCTCTCATTTTAATTTGATCACACTTATACATGATGGGGGGCTTGACTCGCCACCGCCACATGTTACCTCACCTATCTCCCCCCCTTCCATTTAAACAGGCCCTCAGTGTGACAGTGTGAGGTAATGGTATGAACAAGATTTTTATTCTTATGCAAATAACACGCATCTTCAAGAAAGGAAAGAAAGGTTTTGTACTTAGCATCGTTTGAAAGTGAGAGTTTTTGTAACTCAGTATTGAATAGTCTTTTGAACAGTTTGTTATTGGCTTGTTTTGTTTTTAAGTTAAGAGTATTTCTTTCTAGCCATAAGTTTTTTCTTTCTAGCCATAAGTTTTGCGCGAGTGTTGGCAACAATATATGCTATACAGTCATGCCTTAAAGCTTAAAAATTTCTGTAGTGTCTTCTTGGCTTGTTCGTCCAGCTTATCCGTAAGCAGGTGTATTGTTCATTAGAATTGTCACTGTCTCCATCTTTTCAGTAATATAGAAATAACTGCAGACTGACAAAACTTGACTTCTAATTAAATTTCATTTTCTATTTTCACCTTCTTTGTCGGCTTCTCGGTCGTCTGCATCTCTCTTCTCTCTTTCGCCTGAAGACAACAACGATATAAGGTGCTGAATATACCCACAAATTTTGATAAAACGTCCCATTTTGTTTTTTATAAATCACTATCTAGTGGATAAGGATCGGATTAAGTTAAGCAACAACGTTATCAACTGGATAGAGATTTATCCAGTAGATAGCGCTATTCACATTTTGAACAATTGAGACCTGCTTTTAGAAAAATGCCCTGTATCAATAATATGTTTCAGGTAGCTGTCAAAGCTAACAAAGTATACCTCCTCCGGTTAGAAGAAAAACATTTTTTGGTGGTTTGTCCTTAGCTTGCATGTTTGTCATCGTTGTTGTAATTTTTTACTGTTTTTTCTGAGAAGTCGAGAAAGACAACAATAGACACTTGCTATGGCCAGTTCCCTTATCGACATGTGACCAGGCTCTTCTGGCTTACATTGCTCTAGACGGTCGGAGAGCCTGCTCTATAAAAACGGCTTTTGTGCTACCTCTCCCTTCAAACAATTGTATCAGGAAAAAAGTCAAGAAGTCAAGGATCTGAGCAATATCGCGTCTAAATCACCTTTTATTATTAGTTCTCCTGATTTTCAGTTGGCAAAGTAAGGAAACGTTAACAAGCTTACCCGCAGATAAAAAAGACTAACCTAGCGATACAGATATCATTAGAGGAGTAATCCAAGATGCGATTACTACGCAAATGTCTGTGCGCGAGATCCGCAAAGAAAAGGTCATTCTTAAATCGTGTGTCATTAGATAAGAAGTTCTAAAATGTTGTAATACAAGTCTTTAGGAAGTTTTAGGAAGCAATTTTTACGTTTGAATTGACGGTTTCAGGCAGGATGACGAATCTTTATGGTACGGTGAGACAGGTGTCATCTGTCACTAATGCGCCATTAATGACTGATGATGACTTACTTGGAAGGAAAGTGCCAAAATGTGGCATGAACTAATCGGAGAAACATCATTTTTATCTTTTTTCTAATTTCTCAGTGACTTAGAACAATCCTGTGACCACAGCTTAAAACACGCGCGCGTAAAAAATATGTATATGTATTGTTCACAACCAGCATTAAACGTTTAACAATACGTAACGGGTCTGAGGATAAATACTACGATGCAAATTTTATGGTTGAGATAAAAACGAATGCGAAGTATTTAGGCAATCTGAATTCGAGTATAAGCCAAATAAATTTATGTGGGAGCCATTAAATGGCAACTCATTTCTGGAATCTAGAATAGGATTATTAAGGTCAAAAGATTGAATTGCTTAGCTTATCAGGCTATAGCTATACCAGAGACTGAGTTAACCTTTGGAGGCTGGAATGTTTCTTTGGGCGCCTAGATTAAATTAAAGCGCCCCACGCCTGTATTTTGCTACTTAGATAAAATGAAACTCTTGAAAATTTTCAAGTCATGTTATCTCAGCTACTATTTCTGTTCATAGCAAGCTGTGCATATTTAATGATTATAATGATCAGTACTAATTGGATAAAGGACTTCTTTGAGCCAATGTCGAGTACAGGGTTCTCCTCGGAGCCTCAGATTTTTGTGGCTTTGAACAATCAGCGGCCGAAAACAGGTTGTCTTATAATCTTGACTATAATTTAAGGCGGTATCGACGAGGCTACAGCCACCATGAATGACTACGTGCTTGTTTTGAGTTCAATTTCTGATCTTAACTACAAATATTGAAAATAAAAGCGTACTTACGTGAAATCGGTGACGCCTGTGATAACCACGCCAGGCAAAGTATAAGAAACACGCTAAATTTCATCTCATATGAGATAAAGCCGTCCTTAGACGACAGAACTCAAAAGCGAAATATTCACTTATTTCTCACTTACATTGACCAGTCAAGGCTATCTCAGAATTTTTAATTACCCAAAGTTTGACTATTCGAGGACCACCCGCAGGATACGCGGACAGAAGCCTGGAAGGCTGCCTTCTTCACCAATGACTTCATAGGTTGCATAGGGTCGGAAAGCGTCGTGATTTTAACCAATCAGCGCTTCGTTTTTTAACGTTTTCCATATTTGGATGCGAGTGCATGTTTGATTCCAGACAATTAAGGCGTTCATCGACAATATTTGTCCGTGAACCAAAACAGAAAAACAGGAAACCCGAATCTTGAGACAAAACCCGTCGACAGACGCGTCTAAAGTAGAAAATACAAGCTGAAGGATTTAATTAACAAGCAGTTGTCGGGAAAAAAAATTTCTGCCTGCAAATTCGGAAAACAATAGATGTAATATAATAGATAAATATTAGCGCTACCAATAAAACGGGTGCGACTTCTGGAGATCACCAAACAGGTAGGTACCGGCCAAAACCTTCACGGTCCGTCGTTTTTGCAGGTGTTTTATTTTTATTATGTCATTGAAACAAGCAATACCGTGTGGCCTGTTAGCTTGAAAACTTTGAGAAATGTGGCACTGATGTAATATTAAGAAGCTACAAGTTTGCTTTAAACCAGGTAATACTCTTCCCTTTTCAAAGCTGTGTAAATATCCATAACACAAGTCCTTGTTTCCCCGTCTATCGCGAAAATTTCAATTTTGGGGTTTACTATTCGATGCGATCATCCATGACGAGGGCGAATCGAAAACAATGACATGTGCATTGGAGTGTTTAGGACACCAATAGTGATGAAAAGTGCTACTTTTAATCCAGTACCTGAGGTCCGTTTACCCCACAAAGCAAGCATAGCTTGATGATGAAAAATATAGAATTTAGTATAAATCTGGTCACAAAAGCGAAGATAAGATTTCTTAAAAAGAGGAAATCAGAAAATTTGGGGGTTATGGAATTCCACTGCTAATTTAATTTCTTTTAAAGTTGAGTTATTACTCGATCTCAATTTATCAATTGGAAGATGATAGTCTTAATTAAGTTGCTTTCACTGAGAACAAAAGAAGGAGCTGTTTTAAGCACAAGCAGATTTTGTGCAGTCAACTGCGATCAAACCTATGATACTGAGTTTCATCCTAAAAAAAAAAATAAAGTCCCTGGGAGTCCCACATAGCTGATTTAACAGTGCGTCCAAGCAAAACAAGGGTTCTTCAATTATGTCTACTGTTTGAGTGTGACCAAATGAGATAATTGCCCACCCTGATAACATCGACAAAGATAGTGCAATTCAAATTGCACACGGTTGAACGGCTGCTCCGTTACCTCAGTTAGAAGAGTGCCGGATTGCTGAACGGAAGGCGGTGAGTTCGGAGGTTGTACTCAGGGAAGTTTTAAAAGGGGAGGCTCCGCCCCGAGGACCAACCCCAATTACCCTTTTATAATTCATTGTTGACTGAAGAGGTACCCCATTTCGTATACCGTCTATTGAGAAATGGTACCCCTTTCACATAAAGCTAACAACTTTGCTGTAAATATCATGATACTGTCTTTATAATATGAATAAATCGCAAAACCAACATGCTTTGTCGACTTCTCCACAGCCTTAAAATGGTCTGTTATCCCTTTTGGGCCTTTTTACCGACGGAAATGACAGATTTTTCTTCCCCATTTTACACTTCAACAAGTGAAATTCCTACTCTTCCATATACCTGAAGCCCTTTCGGGCGAAGTCTCACCGCAGTATAGCCCATTATAGCAGTTGACCAGCACCATTCCAAAGCGGCTCTCTGATTGGGTATCTTTGCCTCGATGAGACTGTTTCCGTACCGGACCATACCGAACCAATCACAACACAGCATTCAATAATGCGGCCCAAGCGGTCTGCTTCTTGCGCGTCCCTCGAGGCACTCGAGAGAATCGAAAGGAGATGTGCAGCGCGTATACAATACAGTGTACCTCGTGTCGGAGTGGTTGTTTTTTTAATATTTGTGGCTTTAATCTTGCAATTTTTGTTAACAACATGTGTCTGAGATTTGTTTTATTCACCGAAGCAAATCGGCTCCATTGGAATTTGTTGTCACCGGTAATCGAAGCACGTTGTCACACTCGATGTATGAGTGCAAGGATGAATGACGGAAAGTTCAGCTTGATTTTAATATATTTTCTTTTTGGACAATTGATGCAGTTTTTGCAATTTCTCAATCGCCTTCATACACGTTCTCTCTTTTCAACCGGCTAGGTAATTTTAAAGCGATCGCTCACTGTTTCTGTTAAGCTGTCATTGTCATATTTCGCTCAAAAGTAAAGTCGAACCCGGGTAACTCGAACTCTTTAGTGAAACGCACAACACTTCGAGTTAGCGGGAAATTCGAGTTATCGCGGTAAATTTCAGTGAAATTTAGATCAAGGGAAAATAAATTTAGTTCAAGTTAGCAGGGAATTCGAGTAATTTGAGTTCGAGTTATCGAGGCTTTACCAAGTGTAAAAGGGGTCGGTAACTAGGTCTACACGACTTCTACTTCATACCATGCAAAGCGTTTTTTCTCTGGGGGGTAGATTATTCTCTGGAGGGTTTTATGATGTGATTTTACCCGCTTGTTTCACCCTGAGGGGTCATGACACGTTTACTGATCTTTTGTTTCTGGTCGTGAAGATGATTTGCCCTCTGATGGAAGAGCATTTTCTGTGACCTCTTGCGTGAAGCGTAAAGCTCTTTATTACGGCTGAATAAGGCTTTTAGGCTCTTTACTTTTCTCCAAAGTGCCTCAGGATCTGAATAACTAAGCGGTTTCCCATAGTTTCGTGCATGTGATATTTTCATGCAAAAGTTGTATCACGTTGTGCCCAGTTCGCGGTTTAGTTTTTCGGTTTAGTTTTGTTTGTAGGATGTTCTGAAATTCTCACGGATTAAGCAATTTACAGCAGTGGCGGATCCAGGGGGGAGGGTCCGGGGGTTCCCACCCCTCCACCATCAGACCTGACGCTTGTTTAAGACTGAAATTCTTACATCGGCCGGATCGTATATAACTTTTTATTTTCGACCTCGGACAATGCATTTCTAGCATTCTGATTGCTTCACTCAATCTCGGTTATCAGCTCACATACCTTAGTTTGACCTTATTTGGAAAACGTTTATGCTGAGTGTGTCAAGCTAAACACTTTCGCAACGACACAAAATTCGACAAAATTGCTCTCGGAGAAACTGGCGGAAAAAAGTAGATTTCGCGAGCTACCGACGAAATACAGAAAATGCTGGAAAATGTCATATCGCCTCAGTCAAGATCATATTTTTAAACAATGATAAACTTCCAGCTTGTTTTTTTTTTCTCAAAATAATAGAGACCTTTAGATTCTAACACGAGTACTGACGTAGACGACGAGTACGAGATTTTCTCAGTACTAAGCAGGGCTCGCGCATGAACCAGCGTCAATTTGGCGGGAAAACGTGGTAGCCGTCGTCACTCTACAACAAATTTTAGCGACAATGTCGAAGGAGGGAAAACGAGTTATCAAATGTTGGAAGTTTTATTATTTTGCGATCGGGAGAGTGCGTAACCTCCTTCACTAAAGGTAACAGTGCTAACTTTTCTAATGAGAAATGGTAAAATGAAGCTTTCCGGGGACTCTGTATTTTGAGAATACGCGAAAAAACTTTAAGTCAAATCTCGTACTTGACGTACGTAGTCGTTCCCGTCCTTGAATCTAAAGGTCTCTAATGTAAGTCTGGACTGGAGCGCGTAGTTCCTCCCTTGGTATGTCAGGTAATAGCTTTTGAAATATTGTAGCTTAACAGTCTTCCGAATGTTTTGTTATTGCCAAGACCATCAGTGGTTTCGGTTCTCAACGCGAACCTCACCAGTTACCGGGTTGGCTTTGTACTTTGTTGCTTTTACAAGAGCAACTTTAGTTGTTCTGTGTCGTGGCGAAAACAGTACAGTTGTTCTGTCTAACTGAGTATCCGCGAGGAAGATCGAAAATTCTTGTTTTTTAGGCTACTGGCTACTAAACGTAACCATGTATGGGGAGTGTGCATTTCGATCCTCTTCTGCTTTTTTGAAGCTATACTAGAAGTTTGTGTTTTTTTTTTTGGAACGCATTTCTTGAACATTTTAGTATTTTCTTTTCTAGAAGAGGACGAGAACTCTTGGAAATAAGACAGTGTGCACAGATTTTCCCTACACAGAACAAACCGAAACAGAAACAAAAAGCAAAAAGCGTCAAATTTCATTACTACTGCAGTAGTAGTGTGCCTGGAAACACTTTAATTCGTGCACTTTTCCATTGACTACATGCACAAAAACCAATACGGCAGCCTTTGAAACGGACAGCAATTTCATCACTTAGTTTTTTTCTTCTACCTACTTATTATTATTTTTGCTTAATTTCACATAGATTAATGTAACCGTTTAGTTACTTTTTAACATAAATTTATCATTTTGTGGGGCAGTTTTAGTTTTAAGGCTCTTAGTCTATCAGTGAAACAAAGTTTTAAATCTGTGTTCAGATACACCGTATTCACAAATGGCGGACACACGGGAAAAAACTGGTGCCTAGTCATGAAAGCGAGGCGTTGGAGGATAAACACAAATTGCAAATGAAGACTTTCAGTGAACTTGCAGAGTGTTTAGCACGAATTCCACCTAAAATAACCTTGTACGGACTTCTTCATAAATACAATTTCGTGGGATGTCTTCTGCTTTTAATGTTTAGTATTGATTTGCTGTTTGCAATCAAAAGGGACGCGGAAATCTTCAAGGAAACAGGATGATTTTGTAAGTTTCCGGAACATCAGAAGCTCGACAAGTGGGCGATGGCTGGAGAAAAGCGGCAAACATGTTGGCCCAAACTTCACATTTAAATCGAGTACGAAAGCCAGCTCACTACAATTCGGTAAAACAGAAATATAAACAAATCTGGGTGGCAAGAAAAAAAGAAATAAGCGACGGATACATGGCCTACTTGTTAACGCAAGAGACGTCTGCCATTGAACAAAACAGTTCTGGTCGCGATGAAAAAAAAAGAAGACAGGAAAGAAGCAGAGACTGAGGTTTCGATGAAGTTATGTTTGCAAATTGGTTTTTGTTTGCCAGGACGTTATCCTCTGGTCTTTATCGATGAAGAACATCAATTACAACTATTTTTTTAGTATAAATGCAGGAGCGATCGAGTGGAGTACACGCAAAATTTCAACTTGTTACTCGGCAGACTCGGTAAGCAGGCCACATCATATATCATTTCAGCGAGTAATT